GCTTGCTAACTAAACAAAGTATTTTGAATTCCACTGGAGGTAGGCAAATTGGCTGTGTTTTGAAAGTCTACATAATCACTACTTTCCCACAAGATAATTGAACAGTAAGGGTTATTTAAAGTAGTCTTGGAATAATTCCCAGTTTCACTGAAGGAAAAGAAAAGTTTATATCTTGGGATTTTGTTTTGTTTTGAGAATCAGCACACACGCCTGTTCATGCAACTCTTTTGTCTGGTTGGGATTAAATTAAATCCATTACTTCAAAGAGGTTTTGCCATACTTCAGCAGGTATACTTACCAACATATCCTATTTCCCACCTTGGTAACAGTCTCTCGTGGTGTGTCTCTTCCTGCATGTAAGATTTCGTAGAGAAATATAACAGCCTCCCTCATCTTCCTGTCTGATTAAGTTAAGAATGTCACAATTTTCTTGGAATAGCCATTGGTGATGTCATTGCCTCTTCTTATGAGGGTGAGTTGTCAGGAACTAGGATTTCACTGAGGCCTTAGGGTATGAATGAGGAGGAGAGTCTGCTGGAAATGTTTCTAGTAAAGAAGGTAAGCAAAAGTTAGTGACTTCTCTGTAGTCACCAACATGACCTGTAGCCTACTTACTAATGTGGTTCACAATATTTAAGAAATGAGTCATATATGATGAAGAAACCCTTGTTCTTCAAGAGTTACCAAAATGGCCTGTTTTTCCACTATTTTCTATTGCCTTGTGTTAAGAGTTTAAAATAGCATAATACTATCAGAGATGTATTTGCATGTATCTTTCGGGGAATTTCAAGTGCTTTCACATCTTTCTTGTTAAGTGGCACGCAACTGCACAGGTGCTTACTTTTCTCTTCTTTCTGATTAACTTAGAAGAGCTGCAGTTTTCACAGAGGTGGTTGTGATGTTATAACCCCTCCTGAGCTGCAAGGTTATCAAATCCTGAATTCTTAGATAAGGTAATAGGAGGTGACAGGGAGAGTGTCCAGGGAGTGCTTAGTTGATAGAAAAAAAACAAATAGTCTGCTCAGGGAGAAAACAGTGAGTAGTTGCAGCTTTGCGACCAGAGGCTCTGTTGAATGAAACAGTTAAATTTTAGATCAGACACACTCCTCTTTTGTTTCTCAGCAAGCCTCTCTTGGACTGTGGTGAGGATGATTGGAAATGTGCATAGTAGAATCACCTGAATTTGGCATTTGCATTTGGTATTGTCTGAACATACCCTGTTCCTACCTGCCATTGAGTTTGCAGTTGGTGTTGTCTGAACATACCTTGTTCCAACCTGCCATTGAGAACAGTGTAGCCTAGGCCCCACAGTATGGATGTGCCCTCACAGGACAGCTGTGCTTGGTGTCCAGTCTACAGCCCCTTCATATATCACACAGCCACACACCCCTTCACATAAGTGTGGCCTGACTCCCTGTGTCTGGTTTCTAATCCATGCTAGTTCTAGAACCCACCTCATCTGCTAAGATCATTTTCCCAATCTGGGCCCTCTGCCAGGCCTTCCGGCAGCTAAGAGGAAGGACACTAGCCTAAACGTTAAGAACCTGGGCTTCCGCACTTGGTTTTCACTAGCCATGGGAACATGAGCAAGTCACTCATCCATCTGTGTCTCAGTGTCTCAGTGATTCCATCTGTAAAATGGAAATAGAGTAAAATGGAGATGAGATCATCCCCAGTGACTGGACGCAGTGGCTCACACCTGTAATCCCAGTGCTTTGGGAGGCTGAGGAGGGTGGATCACTTGAAGTCAGGAGTTCCAGATCAGCCTGGCCAACATGATGAAATGCGATCTCTATTAAAAAAGTGCAAAAGATAGCTGGGCGTAGTGGTACATGTCTGTAATACCAGCTATGGAGGTTGAGGCAGGAGAATCGCTTGAACCCAGGAAGTGGAGGTTGCAGTGGGCCAAGATCACGCCACTGCACTCCAGCCTGAGTGACATAGGAAGACGCCATCTCAAAAAAGAAAAAGATAATCTCAGGCTTCTTTTGCAGATGAAATTAGATAATCACATAGTACCAGATGTTGAAAAATTTACTATAATTAATAGGAATTAATGAATGCCAAGGGGCAGAGCCACACTTCTTATGATAGTTTCTTGCTATAAGGTGCTATTTTGTTCTCTACATTTACTCTAGAGTAAGCTTTTGTTTGAGAGAAAAAATGCCAGTTTGATGCATAGAAGATATGCAGAGGCTGAGTCAGGAACAGATGATGCAATAACACAATAGTAACAGAATGTATGATGCTTTTCTCTCAACTTGGTTGATTTTTTTTTTTTTTTTACTTTTACTTGAACCAAACAAGCAAAAATACATGCTCCCCAGAAAAACAGAAGTAAAGATTTTCTTTGAGAGGCTGAGGTGGGAGGATCACCTGAGGTTAGGAGTTCAAGACCAGCCTGGCAAACATGGCAAAACCCCCTACTAAAAATACAAAAATTAGCCAGGTTTGGTGATGTGGGCCTGTAGTCTTAGCTACTTGGGAGGCTGAGGCAGGAGAATTGCTTGAACCTGAGAGGCGGAGCTTGCAGTGAACCGAGATGGTGCCACTGCACTCCAGCCTAGGCAACAGAACGAGACTCCATCTCAAAAAAAAAAAAAAAAAAAAAAAGGAAAGATTTTCTGCTTAACTTCTTAACTTTTCCTTAACCAGGAAACTCTTTTTAAAATAATGGCATAGAATCATCCATTCATTTGCTTGTTCATTTGTTGTTGTTGTTTTTTTTTTTTTTTTTTTTTAACTCATTTGTTCAACGAGTGGTTATTAATTGCTACAGGCACAGATTTCCTAGCCCTTATGTACCTTTCCTCTCTAGTGGGGGATTTAGTCAGTGGGAAGGCAGCTATGGGGCAATATGACTTTTTATTTTTTAAATGGGATGCGGAAAGGTCAGAGGCTATGAAGGTACTTAGGGTTACCCAGAGTTAAAAGAGCCGGGAGACTTCCCAGGAGAAATGGTGTCAAACAGGAGATCTAACTAATGAGTAAACATTGCCAGGCAGAAAACAGCACATATGAAGACTTAGGAGCAACAGAGACTCTGATTTGAAGGAGGAGCTAAATTCAATATGACTGAAATGTGGTTTTAGGAAGACACATAGAAAAAGACAGGATTAGAGAAGAAAGTTAGAGTCAGATTCTTTCCTTTATACACTTTATGTCCAGCATGCAAAATCAGAGTTAATACTGTGTAGTACTACTACAAAATGAAGACCTGTGCAGATGGAGAAAATCAAGGCTCTGGAAGACAGTTTTCTCAGTACAGGCTCTATAAGATTCCTAATTTCTTCTGCACTATCATGAATTTGAAAGACATCAGATATGCTCAAACACGTGTTCCAATTCTGTACTGGTTCCCTCCCTTCATTAAAGTGACTATTGGGACTTAATAATATCCAACATTCAAATTTCTATCTTTTTCAAAAGGCCTAACCCATCTGCCTGGTATTATTGTAAACCTAACTATGGTAATATTTTAAAAGGTAAATTATGCTAAATTATTAGCTCATAAGAAGAAAAAATCTTTCAACTCTAACATTAAGGCTAACTGAATTAAAGTATCTTAGAATGCTCTATATTAGTTTGAGAATAATTTTATAAGATATACGAGGAGAGAACTTATTACTGAACTATTAACTTTCAAAATAATCTGTATTTTCCTTTTTCCCTGATTGTTCATGCTATTCTGTCTGCTAACACTTCAGGTTAAAACCTTCATCCTTTGGTGTCCATTTTTGTAACCTTGGACCATTTTAATGTTTCTTCTACTGGTAAACTAGATCATATATTCCAGGTCATTTGAATTTTTATTTTACTTGTCACATATATCTAGTTTTACTAGATTTAGAAGACAGCAGTCTGCTTTAATCCTTTTGTATCTACTGTACCTCAACATGGGGCATATGTTGTTTAATGATAATTATAAAATATATATACAGAAGGCTCAAGAAAGAATTTTTGTTTCTTTGATATTTTAATCCTTCCCAATATTGACATGAAAAAAAATGGAAGCAAATATGCTTCCATGTTAATTGAATGCTACTGAATAACGTGCTGCAGTTTCTAAAGATCAAACTGATACCTGGGCTCTTTCTGTGCAATCTTCTGTGGTTCCAAGTGTCAGGTTAGTTCTTCTTCAGGAAAACCCATAGTCTCTAGGTGAAGTTCTGAAGGAAGTGAAACTAACCAAAGGAAGGATGTAAACACCAATCTCATCCTGTATTCTAGACATATGCACATTGTTACACATAAAGATAGCTCGTAACATATTTGTTCTATATTTTTGCTAAGTATCCCCTTATAAAGACAGTTAGCATAAAGCCACTTAGATAAGATATCTGCTCTCTAAATGAGTCAACATATGAAAATGCTCAGGGCATAGAAAGCACTGAGCAAAGGCTAGTTGTTGTTCTTGATTTTAATTTTGTTTCATTCTTTAGAGCTGTGCTGAACAATATGTAGCCATGAGTCACATGTGACTACTGAGCGCTTGAGATGTTACTTTTCCATATTGAGATGTGCTCTAAGTATAAAGTCTACACTGAAGTTCAAAGACTTAGGAAAAAGGAATGTCAAATATCTCATTACTAATTTTGACATTGCATGCTAGTTTTGATTGCATGCTAGTTTGGATATATTGAGTTAAATAAAATATATTTTAAAAATTAATTTCACCTGTGGCTTTTTATGTTCTTAATGTGGCTGGCTACTAGAAAATTTGAAATTATACGCATGGCTCATATTCTTGGCTTGCATTATATTTCTATTGGACGGCATTGCTTTAAAGAGACCTTCTAGGGTGTGTGGCAAAGCAGCAGTATTACAGACATTGATCAAAGCTCTTGATCAGCTAAGCAGAAAGGAAGCAGGTCAAATCATAGCTGAACAAATATAAACTATTCACATTGAAATGTAAATGTCTTTTTCACTGTGATCAGGTTTATTTTTAAGAAACTACACTTAACACATTGTGTCTAATAAAAAAAGTCTGTTTCTAGGTTACTGGTTGGTTCACCCTGGAGTGGCTTTCCTGAGAACCGAATGGGAGATGTGTATAAGTGTCCTGTTGACCTATCCACTGCCACATGTGAAAAACTAAATTTGCAAAGTAAGTTTAAATTTACTTGCGAAGCAAGTGATTTGTCTTAGACTCAACTGAAAAATAACATCAAAACAATCATTGTTCTGTCTTAAAGAAATATAGGCAGCTTTTTTTTGCCCTTATGTCTTTAGAAATATGGGGCACAATTGTATCCAAATTTCCAAAACAGTTTGGAAACTTGACTTAACGAGATGTGTGGAAAATGTGCTGTCTCCTGGACCATTTACCTCCAGACCATGGACTGATTTCCATCAACATTTACAATAATTTTGGTGATTACTTGCAGAAGTCCGAAACCATCCATATTTCTTTCTCTCCTCTTTGCAAAATAAACCATTAAGCTTGGAAACATAACTCAAGAATGGATACAGTGGTTGATGCCCTAGGTCAGTGGAAGACAGGAGGTGGAGAGATTTATTTAGTATATTATATGGCTAGTCTAATTTCCTTTCAACATTCACCCACTGCTGCTTTGAGCCAGATTCTATCATAGGGCATTCTTTGATAACACTTCAAGGATATTTTTACTGACCCAGAAAAATAAAAGGCATTAGATAGAGCTACTATGACTTTCAAAAGAGAGAAAAAAATGGTGTCCTCAAATGTGTTTTGTTTGGCCAGAATATTGTAAAAAATAAGAATAATAATAATAATTAAACATCTATAAGTCATATCCTCTTTAGAGCCCACTCCTTACTGCCTTATGCTCTGCAGCCTCACACATTAATGTGAGTTACCAGATCACTGAAGGCATTGCATTTCCCCACACTTCATTATATAACTCAGGTACCTATATTGATGACACTAAATTCAATGCTACATGAAAACATGAGTGTGCCTGGTTTTTTTAAAAATATCTTTAAGTAAATGAGGAATATTTAATCACTTTAAAAATTGTTTTCCCTTTGAAAGCTTCAACAAGCATTCCAAATGTTACTGAGATGAAAACCAACATGAGCCTCGGCTTGACCCTCACAAGGAACATGGGAACTGGAGGGTTTCTCGTGAGTGTTTACTTTACAAATCATTATTCCTCTCAAGAAAGTATGTAGATCTCCCTCACAATCCCTCCCAATCTGGAGGTTTAGATGCTTAGAACTTGCTTGTTGATAAATTATGCTATTTATTTGGCTATCCAATGTTGAATATTCAAAATAATGTTGATGTGTAGACTTTTTAGGATATTCAGCAAAACCACTGCTACTGAATGTTTTGAAGAAAAGGGAACAAAAAGAATCCTGATTCTTTGCCCTTGAAAAGTGTGTTGAGTATTTGTTGATAACAGCAGAATCCCAAATCTCATTTCTACTTCCTGTAGGATCAGTCAAGATAGGTACTGCTAATTTAAAAAGTAGGTTTCAAAGCTAAAAAGTATTTTTGGTTTTTAAACATTTCCTGTAATTGTTGAGTAATCTGGTGTTATTTGAGGCACAGAACAGTCTCTCATATCATATCAGTGTTCACATTCATTTAGTTATGAAAAGAGTAAAAAGACATCACTAATCAGTGAAATAGAATGCCTTATTTAATAAGTGCTTTTGGAACAATTAATTGATTAATATTTACATATCCAAATACACTGTCAAGTGAATTGAAAGTTAATATAAAAAATAGAGAAAAATGGAAATTTTCTGAAGAATGGAAAAATTTCTGAGTTTAAAACTAATAAAAAAATATAGCAAATTGTTGAAAGGATTTGACTATATAAAAAAAGGGAAAAACATCACACACCAAAAAAAGAAGCTTAAAAACAAATAAAAACACAATCTTATTTGAAATTTCCATTGACTCACATAGGTATGCGTATGTATGTATAACCCTGTTAAAATTGTCCTAAAGAGGTCGGGTACGGTGGCTCATGGCTGTAATCCCAGCAACGTGGGAGGCTGAGGCAAGTGGATTACCTGTGGTCAGGATTTCAAGACCAGCCTGGCCAACATGGTGAAACCCCATCTCTCCTAAAAATGCGAAAGTCAGCCAGGAATGGTGGCACACACCTGTAATGCCAGCTACTCGGGAGGCTGAGGCAGTAGAATCACTGGAACCCAGGAGGCAAAGGTTGCAGTGAGCCAAGATCGTGCCACTCAAAGAAAAGAAAAAGAAAAAAAAATGTCTTAGAGAGCGTAATTCAACTTTATGTCAGTTTTATCTAAACCATTAGCACGCTTCCTTAAAAATCCTATGTTTTATAACTGTATTATTCTAAAAATGTAATCGATTTTGAACAATGTCATTCTATTTTTACTAATGGATATTATTATTCTGATGACTGTGCTGCCAGTAAGTGAATTAGATATTGCTTGTGATATGTGTTAAGATCAGTGCATAAATGAATATTGCAAGGGATCTTTATGGTTTATGATATTCCAAAGTCTTTACAATAAGGTTTCTTTAACTTTTTGTTTGTTTGATTTTAAGGTTGCAAAAATATAAAGAAAGAATATACTAATACTTAGAGATTACAGAATGTGCCTTAAAATTTTTAATCTGTAACTCCAGATAAAGTAAAAAATAAAAGTTAAAAAGCCAGAGAATTTGAGAGATTAATTAACATTACAGGTAGCAAACAGAGAGGCAGAAAGAGAGAGAGGGGGAGAAAGAAAAAAAGAAAAAACCCGAAGTTTCCTTTACATACTTAAAAGGTCAAAATCATAAGATACTCTTAAGAATTATGTGGAAAAGACTGACAATCATCACATTTTTTTGAAACTTCTTAAATTCTGGGCTTACAGTAGGAATGTAGTTCTGGCACTTACAATTGGCATATTTTAATTTCAACTTCTTAATGCTGTTTTCCATTGCTTTTAAAACAAAAAAAAATATTTTTGAATACTTCATGAGTTCTTTTTCAAAGTGATTTAAAAAAACTTAGGAATGTGGATATAGAAACCAATGATTGGTATCTGTTATTTGGTAAACAAATCAAAGACATTAATAATGACTTTCTTCTAATTAATTGGCAAAATAAATCAGTTTTATAGGGAGAAAACTATGCCTTGTTCATTGCACATGAAATATGGCCAAAGCTGCTTCCCCTTTGACAGTTAAACTGGGTCAAATAAGTTTCCTTTTATTTTTCCAATTACTTCACGCAAGCCCATATTCTTCTGTTCAGTTTTAATAATTGATTCACAACTTTACATAATGCTACATTCTGTAGGCATTTTTTAAGGATCTTAATTAGATTCTCTTTTGCACTTGTCTCCTTTTTCATCTCTCAATTTTAAAGTTATTTAATCTAATGTTTCCTGTGTTATTTAATCATGATTTAATCAGGAGTTCTTGGCATTCAAGGTCTCCTGAAAAGGAGAGAATTGGGATTGCATTAATGGAGATATTAAGGATTGGAGCAGGTATAATGTGAGCAAGAAGACAAGTACCATTCAGAATTAGTGACTGCAGTTAATTAGGAAGTGGGCAAGGTTAGAAACTAGTAGTCAGTGAACCTCATTTGTGTTTGCTTAGCATATGGAGTAATTTCGAACTGAATTTTCACACAAAATTTTCCCTCTCAACTCTCCTTTATAAATTAGGGAATCTGGCAACACAGCCTATTTCACACCAATGGGCAGGCAGAAAACACAGTGGTCTGTACATAGGCATGAGTTCTTCATTCACCATGATGTCTATACCTGACCCCAAGTCCTCTTCAAGAGTTATTGCCATTAGGTTTATGGTTTCTGCTGAGCACTATGAATGGAAGGAACTGAAGAAAACTAATGTTCAACAAGAACAATGATAATGATGCTAGCTAACAATATTATATGGCATTTGCTATTTACCTGGCATTGTTCTAAGTGTTTTATATCTATAGACCCATTTAATCTTTACAACAATATTAAAAGATAGAATGTGTGGTTTTCCTCATTTTACAGATGAAGCACCTGAGGCCCAGGTAACTGAGAGACAAAAAGTGAACTTGCATGCATTCTCCTCCTTGGTGTCCTCTGGAAGGAAAGCACCTGTTTTATCTAGCTTGTTGGGAGACCTCATAGACTCCTCCCTTCGCTGACACCTGCTCCCAACAGTCCCAGCACTCCTCCTCCCACAAGGCTTGCCACTGGGCACAGAGCATCTGCCGCCTTCTCCATCACTTCTGCTTGCCCCAAATGCATTACTGACTCATTTGATTTTGAGTTGACAATTATTAGTATCTTGGAAAAGAGTAGAGATGATTTCTGAGCTCCATAATGGAGAGGTAGAAGTTAGCATTATTCATATGTTTCCACTGATTGTTTTCTCATTTCTTTGAAGACATGTGGTCCTCTGTGGGCACAGCAGTGTGGGAATCAGTATTACACAACGGGTGTGTGTTCTGACATCAGTCCTGATTTTCAGCTCTCAGCCAGCTTCTCACCTGCAGCTCAGCGTAAGTTATTAATGTGCAGATGGTCTGAGCAATGCCTTACAGTTAAAAGAGGGGAAAAAGGTTATCAACTAGTGGCACCCAAACCCTCCTTAAGTCTCATTTTTATATGGCTGTGAAATGTGACTTACCTTTGGAAATCTGCTTCTTTCTCTTTTCCTGTGTAGCGTGCCCTTCCCTCATAGATGTTGTGGTTGTATGTGATGAATCAAATAGTATTTATCCTTGGGATGCAGTGAAGAATTTTTTGGAAAAATTTGTACAAGGCCTGGATATAGGCCCCACAAAGACACAGGTATGGACAGCAGAAATGCATAAACTAACTTATGACTTTCTTTCTGAAAAAAAATTGTTAGATATAAAGTCTTAATTTTTATATTTGTTGAATCCCCATTTTAAATGCATTTAATGGTAATTTTTAAACTTAATTGAAACTTGTACTACATTGGGGTTATTCTACCTGTGGCTTTTCCTAATACTGGTCTTTTGACCTTAGAGTTCTATTTCTGACACAAGCATTGAAGATTAAAGGTATGGGATATAACCTTTTTTTTTTTTTTTTTTTTAAAGACTGAGTCTTGTTCTTGTCATCCAGGCTAGAGTGCAATGGCCCAATTTAGGCTCACTGCAACTTCCGCCTCCTGGGTTCAAGCAATTCTTTTGCCTCAGCCTCCTGAGTAGCTGGTATTACAGGCTCCTGTCACCACACCCAGCTAATTTTTGTATTTTTAGTGGAGACAGGATTTCACCATGTTGGCCAGGATGGTCTGGAACTCCTGACCTCAGGTAATCCACCTGCCTCCGCCTCCTAAAGTGCTGGGATTACAAGCATGAGAAGCATGAGCCACCACACCTGGCCAGGATATAACATTTTAATCTTCCTTTAGTTTCCTGTCTTTCCCCTCTAACCCATGCATTACATTTTAAAATTCAGTATGTATTTTTATGTCCATATGGACTAATAATTAATTTCTTTTGTTTATTCCTTGCTGGTAAAACAAGTATTGAATTCTGAAATTTGTATAAATAAGTCACTAAGCATAATTCTACCATTTATGATAATGTTTTATAGTTATTTATCATATTGCAGTTTAGCTTGTCCTTTTGCCTACAGAAAAGGTCTTTTCAATAATTTTGTATAGCTCTTTATATTTTAAGAAGTCTTTAATTTGCTTTTATGTCTTCTTGAAGTAGGCAACTAAAGCTCAATAGTATTATTTTAAAGTTCAATTTCCGGTTTTGGTTTTTTTGTTTTTTTTTCCTTTCTGATTGAATCTGCCATTTCCTGAGCCATTCTGGTTGTAGCAGTATACTGAACCAGTGTCAACCTGGACCAGTTCACCGTTACCAGTGTATGTTCCTGGATTGCATCTGATACTCCAATGTTCAACATCTAATACAAATTGTTGATGTATTTTTCCCTAAATGCTTTCCAGCTATCTTTATTGAAATTTGCTTCTCTGCTTTCCTGTTCACTATCATATTGTTATATGTTTTCCCCCATTGAAACTGCTTTTCAGTACCAAGAATATCTAAATACCCACAGAAGCCTTGGAAATTTCCCTGTGGGCATTTTCCAGGACATTCTGCTAAATAAAACTACATATAGCACTGGTTTCCAGAAAGCACCACTCTTATAGCCCCTTATAAGTTTTCATATGTATCTTCTTATTTCTTCTGTTTCTAAATGAGTTGCCCTCATAACGTGACTAATTTTATTTAATAGCCTCCTATATAGAATTCACAGTCTTGCTCTTTTGTGTCTTCCTACCACAGTGCATCTGATTCCTCTCTAGAAGTGGTTTAACTCAGTCTCTTTTCTTACAGCCTAAATTTGACCTTCCTGTAAATCCTAATCTACCACATTTCTTTACATCTTTCTTCTTTTTCACACAGAAGTCCTGGGGCTCTGTCATGGGATTACTATTATCTTCCTCTCATATTAGACTCTGAAATTCTCAGTTATTTTTTATTCTTTCCTCCCTCTCAAGTCTTACATCCCTAGAGAAAGGGGTCCAGGAATATTGTATTTCTGACTATCTTCCCAGTGCCTAGCTTACTGCCCCCTTGGCAAAACGCAGCAGATGGAACTCAGAAATCCAGTCCTTGCTCCTTCCACCTCCTTACATACTGACCTGTATTTCAGAGAGCCTCTTACACTGATCCCTCATTGCCACTCCTGTTGTGGAAAGCCCATCTCCTAGGCTTAGAGGATGATCTCAATGTTTACAAACAAAGACATTAACAGAAGGGTGTGACCTTGTTGATCTCTAGGATTAGGGAATACTCCCAAACATCTTGTTCAGAAATTCTTTCTTTCAGCTCTTTCAAATAAGATGCTTTCCAGTAGCATTTTCTCTGGAAGCCAGAAACTCCCTGCCCCACATGCACATATAGCATCTTCTTCCCAGAGTTGCTGAAGTCCATAATAGAGAAAATCCAGCACAATAAAGAGACCTCAACTGACTACACTGATTAGGAGCACATTGGTTTATGTTGTATTCAATTCTAATTATTTATTACATAGTTACTGTCCTTCAGTGACATGTTACTTTTCGTCTGTGATTGCTTATGGTTGTTTGTGAGCTTCTGTCCACTGGGAATTAGAATGTTTATTTAAATCAAGTTTAATCTTCCTGTTAAAAACAGTGTTCCAATAGTCATCCATATTAAAATATTATAGGGCAGTATTAAAAACTACAAATATTACTCTTGGGAATCAAATCATACACTGTAGGACATCATCTTTCTTGGCAATAGTACTGCTATTGTACACTGATGGCCTCTAACGAGAAGAAATTATTCCATTGAAAGAAAAGTAACTATCAAGAACAAAGTTGGAAGTGATGCCTTTAAGCTATTGGCCCATGTCTAAATGTACTTTTGATTTTCATTTTATTGGTTAAGTAGAAATTATTTATAATGCAATGACAGCCCATTAATAAATGTCTCCTCTTTTGAAGGTGGGGTTAATTCAGTATGCCAATAATCCAAGAGTTGTGTTTAACTTGAACACATATAAAACCAAAGAAGAAATGATTGTAGCAACATCCCAGACATCTCAATATGGTGGGGACCTCACAAACACATTTGGAGCAATTCAATATGCAAGGTAAGTTTTGGGGCTAATAGGCCAATGTTTTCATAATGTAAAACATTATATTTATGTGATACATAAGAAAAAGTAAGGAAAAGACAAAGAAAAATAATATACCTGGTACCTCACTTAAATCAGAACTAATAAAGAAAAAAACATAAGAGCATTCTATGTCTTGAATACTTTGAGAAGGCAGTTGGGAAAGTTAAATGTTTGATTTTAGGATATTTATAAGATATTGCATTATTTTTATATGAATTTATATGAAATAAATGAAATGAGAAGACCTTAGATTAAAACAGTAGGAAATGGGGCAATCTGTCATAATTTGTTAAGATTCATCAGAGATCCAGACAAATTGAGCTCATGGACCACTTGGTGCAAATTAACAAAGGCCACAGAATCTTAAACATATGAGTTTAAGTTTATTACACCTTATTACAATCAGTGGGAAATATGAAATTATAAAAATACTGCACTCTCTTGATTCTTATCTCAATTTCTTTATTTTCTCAGATCCACTGATCTTTGTCTTCACTCTATGTTTTAATATGTTTTTATTATACTTTTAAGTTCTGGGGTACGTGTGCAGAACATGCAGGTTCATTACATAGGTATACACATGTCATGGTGATTTGCTGCACCTATCAACCCGTCATCTACATTAGGTATTTTTCCTAATGCTATTCCTCTCATAGTCTCCCACCCCTCAACAGGCCCCAGAGTATGATGTTCCCCTCCCTGTGTTCTCATTGTTCAATATGTTCTCATTGTTCAGCTCCCACTTATGAGTGAGAACATGCAGTGTTTGGTTTTCTGTTCTGGTGTTTGTTTGCTGAGAATGATGGTTTCCAGCTTCATCCATGTCCCTGCAAACTAGATACCTTCACAAAAATGCTAAACACACTCCAGTTGTTAAACAAATTATTGAGAACAACAAGCTTGCCTTTCCTTAAACCTATTCTCACTCTTTGTCTTGTGCATTCCTTCTTTTCACCACCATAATTCTTTTTGAAAAAAGCAGCTCTATTCCCTCCCTCCACTTCCTTGAAACCTACAGTTCTGCCACTAAATAAGCATGACCCTCTTCATCCCCCAACCCCGTGGTCCCACTTCAAACCTCATCCTTTCTGGCTCCTCTGAACATTTGATAATGATGAACATACTCTGCTATTCCTAACCAAGTTGCCGTGACACCACACACTTCTCGAACTCCTGACAAATTCTTTTGCCTCTTCACTAGCTCCTTTTCCTATTTTTCTTCACTAAACAGAGCCCTCTCTTCTTTACTGCCCTTCTCCTGTAGGAATTCTATCCACTGTCATGGCATCAGCAGCAGCACTGTGTCGGTTATCTCACTGCTATGTTGTCAGCCCTACACTCTCTCCCAAAACTCACACTGGCATCTAGCTGATGCTGAATATTTTTATTTGGAGTGTTCGCTCACTTACCAAATTCAATCCCTCCCACACTGGCCTTATTCTTTTCCTCGTCACTCCTCATGAACTTGCCATTTTGATTTGTACCACTGTCTCTTGCCCAGTCATTCGAACTAAAACTTTGGTTTCCTTTGTTCTTTCCACTCTTCCTTACATCACACATCTGGTCAGTGGCCACATCCTGTCATTTCTATTTCTGTATTTCCTATTTTATCTGTCTTCTTCTTCTGTGTGTATATTTCAGTTGCTGCTTCCATCAACTGGTGACAATCCCAAATGTCTCAAAAGTGGATTCCCCACAAGAGAAGATATGATTGGTTTGGTTCATCATTACTGTCTCTATTCAGGGACAATAAAAGTTTTTTGGGCCAGGCCATCTCATAAGCTATTGGACAGTCAGCAGGTCAGCTGCCATTAGGTGAAGTGCCCTTCCTGATCCAGCAAACTGGACTAGAAGGACAAAGAAGTTGAGATGAAAAATGGCCTTCCTGGAGTTAGAAACTGCAATGGACCCTGGTTTTCAGCAGGGAAGGTGGGAGTAGTATATTTCCCTGTCTGGAGCCTGGGGCCCTGGTGAGCTTTGTTCTCCAGGACAATGGCCACTGTCCCTTGAGGAAGGACTTGCCTGGCTTTCATCATCTTTCAAAACTTTGGTTTTCTCCCTTGCACCTTTGTCTATCTCCCTCTTCCCACTATTTCCCAAGCTAACAGGATTTAGTCTACCCAGTGCTAGGAGAATCACCCAACTTTTTATTCATCCTTCCTAGAATGTAATTGCCTCTATATTTCTTCTCTCTCTCTCCTCTCTTCTTTAAAACATTGAAGATAATCTGAAATTATTTCAGTAAATATTGCCATGTTTTCATTCACCTCATTTCATTTAATGCCTACAGTTGCAGTTTATTGTTTTAAGCACTGCAGGTAATTAAAACTAAATGAGACACAGTTTATGTCCTCAAAAACCTTAGAATCATACATGAAATTTACAGTGTGTCATAAAGAGTATATGACATTCAAAAAGGATCTGATGTGAATAGTGTAATTCAAATTTGGCCGAAAAATACAGAAGTTTTCTACGTTTCTATAGTCTACATTATAGAATACAAAAAACATTTTAGGAAATAAAATGATATTCTCAGTTTTAAAGACAGTGTATTTGATATTATCTCTTAAAATTTGAAATGTGTGTATCCTGTGCCCCAGTAATTTTACTGCTAAGATTTTATCCCATTTGAAAAAGTATGCCAAGATATATACACAGGGATATTTATCACAGCCTTACTTGTAAAACTCAAAATGGCCTAAACACCCAATAATGGGGAACCAGTTAAATAAACCAGTCTTCCTTCATATGGTCCTCCAAATAAAATATTATGCAGCCGTTTAAAAAAAAATAATGAGACCTTCATATATGTGCTGATACGGAAAGGTCTCCATCAGAGTGAAAAACAACCATTTAGAATATGCCCTCATTTGATGCAAAGGCATAAGAATGATACAGTGGACTCTGGGGACTCGGGGGAAATGGTGGGAAGGGAGTGAGGGATAAAAGACTACAAATTGGGTTCAGTGTATTCTGCTCGGGTGATGGGTGCAAATCTCATAAATCACCACTAAAGTACTGATTTATGTGTAACCAAATACCACCTGTTCCCAAAAAACCTATGGAAATAAAACAATTTTTAGAAAAGAATGTGTCTTCATTTCAGTAAAAGTTTAAGGGGTAGACTATGCTTGTACCTATATTACATCTAAATAAAACATTTTCTAGAAGGAAATGCAAGAAACTGATATTGGTGCTTACCTATGGAGAGGGGTGTAGTGTCACATTTGGTTTATACCTTTCCAAATACTCTGATTTTTTTTTTTTTTTTTTTAACTGTGGATATCTATTACTTAAAAAAAATAAGTATTGAAAAAGTAAACACAAGCCTAATGCATACAATTTATAACAGAAATATCTTTGCTCTATTGATTGGTACTGATTAATTCAACTTTCTTAGAAGAAAATAATTCTAAGGAATACTGGGATAAATACATGCACACATATACACACATATGCCCTGACATACAAGACACTTTTTTAATGTCAAGAAAGGCTTACATTTGTATATGTTTCTCTACAAGCTACAAATGGAACATTAAATATGTTGCTAGAGTTAATATGGAGTTACAATATATTCTGTTTAAAGAACTAGTTTCATGTTTCTATTTTAAACCAGAGGTTCTCATATTAACATCGTGTTTTGATAGCAAGTCTTTAACTTTATCTGCCACAGAAAATATGCTTATTCAGCAGCTTCTGGTGGACGACGAAGTGCTACCAAAGTAATGGTAGTTGTAACTGATGGTGAATCACATGATGGTTCAATGTTGAAAGCTGTGATTGATCAATGCAACCATGACAATATACTGAGGTTTGGTATAGCAGTAAGTGGCTTTTCTTTTTATTTGTCTTGCAGCTATTGGGTAAATCTTCCTTTATAGCATCACTTCTCAAGGCTGCACTTTCCCATTGGCTGTTCATAGTTGAATATAAAAGAAAGTTCTTACTCTATCTCTGCTTCTTGATGGTTTTTAATCCTGTCTACTAAATAAAGGGTTGTGGAAATGTTGCTTGATTTGCTTCTCCAGAGGGGCTATTGTGTTCAAAATAGACTGGAATGTATTCGTAGGGAAAACGTACAGCAATAATGACTGTACATTCTCTTCCTCTATTTTCAAGGTTCTTGGGTACTTAAACAGAAATGCCCTTGATACTAAAAATTTAATAAAAGAAATAAAAGCAATCGCTAGTATTCCAACAGAAAGATACTTTTTCAATGTGTCTGATGAAGCAGCTCTACTAGAAAAGGCTGGGACATTAGGAGAACAAATTTTCAGCATTGAAGGTAAAAAAAAAAAAACAAAAAAAAAAAAACAAACTCCTTTCAAGAATTTTCTTTCAAAATGTTTAAATAATTGTTTATTATCACATATTTGCTTTATCAATATTAACTTGTATACCTTGTATAAAAAGAACTCCTACAATCAGTAAGAAAAATGGATGAAAAACATGAATAGTTTATAAGTGATAAAATACAAATGACTGATAAACATAAGAAAAGATTCCCAATTTACAAAGTATGTTTATAAATACTTTCAGCAAGTATTAAAAAATATAAATTAAACCAACATTATGTTTTGCCTAAAAGATGACACAGAATAATAATGTTTAATCTTGGAGAGGTTATCAGGAAGCAAAGAAGCTCATACACTGTTGATAGAATGATAAATTGTTATGACTTTTGGGGGATGATGTATTCATATCTATTAGAATCGTAAATAGTTTTATCTTTTTACACTGTTATGTAAGTACTAAAATTCTTGAATTTGTTTACAGTAATTATATATATTTTTAAAATTAGAAAAATACAGCAAATTTTTTAATCAGTTTTTGAGGAAACATTTTATTTATAGGACCTAAAATAATTTACTTAGGTGGCCTTGGAAAATCTAGTTAGTGCACAAAGATCACATGTTCAGAAGCTCACTGTGTGGGGGACTAGCACACACTTCACAGTGGGTTAAAAGAAAAAAAAACACACATGACCCAAATCCTAGTACTTGATGGTTAACCCAAATAACTCTTTGCAATAAAGACCATATGTTATTGGAAACCTATGTACCAGGTACATCCTTAGAGTCTGGATCTAAAGGTATTGCATAAATTATTCATTCATATAGTCAAATTTTGATTTGATTATCCACTGGAATTACTCAAAAAGCTTTATTGCTTCTTCAGTATCCCATGGTGCTTCAAAGTTGTTTAAATAACCATTTAAATCCAATGTGCCCTGAGATAACACAAAATCACTGGGCTATCCACACTGATAATTGTATTTGTTTGTAATGGAATGAATGAGAACAGTTGCAATCTACAAGCTAGCTAGAAACGATTTTGAGCATTATCTGCTGTTATGGACTTTGGGGACCATTATTCTATTTTATTAAAAATTATCTCTACTCATCTTGTGTAAATTATTTTATCTTCTAAATAAGACTACGTTGTACAGTACAGTTTGTCTTCTTTTCTGTGTTAAAGTGTCAGTCCAGTAATTTAGCTTCCTCTTTGTGAAGATTGGTGAAATGTAACTATTTTGATCATACTGTATGGAAAATAAGTACCAATTGGATCTTATAGTGTCAGTGACAGAGGCAAGCACATATACAGAACCAGAACAAACTTCCCAATTGGTAAAACTCCTACTCAGTCTTGAATTCTGATTCCTAATAGCTAACTCAATTATCTCCCAGCAGTCTTCACTACAGATCAATTGCCCAGCTATTCCACCTGCATCTGAGACATGTGTACATTATCAGTACCAATATTTCAAAGCTAAAATTTCAGTTAGTTTCTTAGTTAGTAATCATCAAGTTTTTAAAAAATTATCATCTCAGTTTTCACCTTACCTTATACCCTTTGTTGAGTGTCCTTTGGTATCAAGAACGTCATGCATATTCTGCTGAATACATCAGTGTTCAATTAAGATTAATGCCAACTATGAACACTACTTTGGAAATATTGTTATTTCTATAACCTGCTAGAACACTTTCTTAGTAATTTCTTCTTCCCAGAATACACAAGCTCTGTATTTTGGGGTGAGTGTTGGAACACTGTGTGTTTGTGTTTGTAGACGTGTACATACATACATGTCTGCATGTGTTTGAAAACTTGATTTAAAATTACTGACAGTAATAAAATTTTTTAAATTGAATGTTCCAGGTACTGTTCAAGGAGGAGACAACTTTCAGATGGAAATGTCACAAGTGGGATTCAGTGCAGATTACTCTCCTCAAAATGTGTGTATATCAGATAGCTTCAAGCCATGTTGTCGTTTGGCATAACACTACCAGACACAGTAACCTTATACATTAAGTGGGAAGACAGTCATCTAGGGATCAGCCCTTCTGATTCCTAGTCACCGTCATTTAGTTTCTTTGTGCTGCTGATTTACCTCTAAAATGTGAAGGTTAACAATGTCTTCCCTTCCCTGTTTCACAGGGATCTTTTATGGGGGAAAGTTGATAGTATACAAAAAAGTCTTTGAGTACTCCAGGGCACAGACAGTATATTAACTTAAGGTATTATTCCTGCAGGAATTGTCTTTGAATCAATTTTTAACAACTGGAAATGTTTGTTAAAAACATTCACTGTTGTCATCACTGTCATGGTCAAATTCTGAGTTGTCATAGTATCTTTTTCTAAGAGCAGACAGAAAAGAGTTGAAAAAATAAGGAGGTAGGAAAAATGTGACATGGGATTGGAGTACAACACTCTTTTCAGCTCAGGGAAGTTCATTTCTATCTCTCACAAACATCCACCTCCTGGGCCCCTGATTCTAATTTGAGTCAGGAGATGAGAGAGATAGTGAAAGGAGGGAAAAAAGAAAAAGAGAAAGAGATCCTGGGAAATATTTAAGGGACAATAGGAAGTCAGAGGATTTGTTCGGCAGGTCAGAGGACCAAGAACAACTTGTTTTCTGTCTAGAATCAAAGGAGCTGACTTTTTCTCGATCATCAATCCTTAGATATACTCATAGAAGTTATGGATCTTTCCCTCAGAAAAAAATATAAATGAATCTGTGCACGGAGAATTTTGCACACAATCCCATGAGGTTTTTGTACATACCCTAAAATCCTTTCATGCACCCCAAATCCAGAATCCCTCAATACTACAGTCATTCACATAACTTCATGGTCTCTTATCTTCAAAGTGGAACACATCTTTTTCTTACTTGCTATTTTTCCTGGCTTGTATTTTTTAGTCCAACATCATATCTTTGGTATGTTCTAAGATAGAAGAATAAAAAATTAAAAATAGTGTATCTCATCCTCACCAAATCTGCCTTCTGTGATGATTTGTAGCTTTGACTGTTTAGATTGGGTTTCGAGTCAATTCAGAGTAGGCTTCCTCCTTTGCCCTCCCCACAGGGCTGACAAATTGTTATTTTCCTTCCAATAGATTGAATATCACAGCTATAGGTGCCTCTTGTAGCTGTGATATTATCAAATAGATGGAATATGTGAATATACAGGAACATTTGAGAAGGGGTCAGGAAGAGAGAGGAAGAAAGATGAAAATAGAGCAAGTCGGAAGAGGGCCTCCCAAGATGTGTCTGGGATAGCAGCAGCATCTCCGTCTCTCCTGTGTCAGTACTTCCTGTTTCTCAAGCATGTCTCATATCTGGCTGTGAGCTTTCCTTATAAATATGTGGAGTGAGAGGCCCACTTCTGACCCCTTTCTAAAGGGCATAAGGGTTTACCATTGGCAATTATACGCCTTTGAATGGGACATTTGAAGATGGCTATGTACCTGTCCTATACTATAGGTTATTACAAAGGTTTGTCTGTATAACATGTCATACTAAATAAAGTTCAGAATAACACAGCCAACGGGAAGGCTTGTTCTCTAGCACAAATATATTAAGACAATTCAGAGATATATCAATAAATGTTCATATATATTTCATCATTTTTAATAAATCTAAACAATTTATTTCAATGTTTTGCCTCCCCTGCATTCTTATGCTTTAAAGGTGGTTTGTTTTAATGACCTTCATTTTTTAATTATTTTAGGATAATCTGATGCTGGGTGCAGTGGGAGCTTTTGGCTGGAGTGGGACCATTGTCCAGAAGACATCTCATGGCCATTTGATCTTTCCTAAACAGGCCTTTGACCAAATTCTGCAGGACAGAAATCACAGTTCATATTTAGGTAAGGCACAGTAATAATTGGCTCAGCAAACTTAAGTTCCCTTGCTTTAAACCAGCTCTTTGTTGAATCTCAGAGTGAGTTCAGCAAAACCCTTGAACTATCATCTAATTGTCATATTTATTACACATATATATGTTGTCTCTGCCAGTCGGGCATAAAGGCATAACTACTTATTGGAGTATTGTATTATACTCACTAGTTTCTTCTGACTGGTCAAGTGGTTGTAATTTCTGGAACATGATTGTGTTCCTCCGAAATGGAAATAGTTACCAAAAGTAAATATAGTAAATGATAGTCTTATATTGTTTTAGAGCTCTTAGTCTTCTTGTTCTTATAATAAGCAGTCACTGATTTTGCAGACTTACTATGGGACAGTTCCTGAGCTGGCTAGTCTGTCTACATAAACATTTAAATCTTTCCAACCAGTCTTTCAGGGATGTTTTGCCTTTGAGAGATAGCAAGATTAACTTATCTAAAGTTCAACAACCTAGTAAGTGGCAAATCCAGAATTCAAACCTCAGACTGTTTCCAAGACCTGTGTTCTTTCTACTGTGCAACACTACCTTTTAAATACATTTATTCATTCGTTCCAGAAATATTTGTTGAATGCCACGTTCACAGGTGGCCAATGAGGACAACCTGGAATCTAGAGGCAGTTTTATAGGTAGAAGTCCCATCTACACAGGGAAGTGCTTCGGGTCAAAGGACAGGAGTAATTCATCTTAGAAAAAGGAAGACATGTCCTCAGTGATGTAGTCAGGAACACTAGAAACTTTGCATCACATCTAACACAAAAGGATCTCTGGTCACCTTTACTAACTTATTCTAACCTTGTTTTGCTCAGATATTCAATGGTAATCACTCTGATGCTCCTTACCTTTTAGGTTACTCTGTGGCTGCAATTTCTACTGGAGAAAGCACCCACTTTGTTGCTGGTGCTCCTCGGGCAAATTATACTGGCCAGATAGTGCTGTACAGTGTGAATGAGAATGGCAATGTCACAGTTATTCAGGCTCACCGAGGTGACCAGGTAAATCTCACTGTTTAGCAGGTGAAATTAATTTTATGGGCAACTGGGCAGGTGAGGAGTCGGGTGAGCAGAAGTGGAAACCAACATGACCTGAGTACTTACTCTGTAATCTGAGTTTATTAGTGTATTCCTTAAATCGTCACAACAATACCAAGAAGACAGCCCTCCCTTTTGACAACTGACTGGGAATTTAGCTAGCTTTGTAAGGTCACACAGTGTCCATGGATTGAGCCGTCATTAAAACTGAGTCCTTCTGGACTCAGAGGTTGTCCTGTTTGATTACATCCCCTTCATGTTTTCGACTCCCTGGATTAATAATGCATGGACATTATTTAGTTGTGATGGCACGCACCTAACCACTGCTTTGTAGGTAAGCACACGCCAGAAACAAGGATTTGGAGAGGAAATAATCAGAAGAAGGGAGCAAAATAACATTATAAAGACTGAACTTCTGCATCTGGACCTGTCAAAATGTCCTTTTAGTTTTGAAGATTCTAAAAGTAAAACAATTATCTTCTCTGCCACTTTCAACTGATGGGTGACAGTTTGGTAGTCAGACCCTATGATGAATCCCAGTTATGGCCCACTACAGCAAAGATCTGTTGCTAGGGCAAAGGTCAGCTGATTGCTTCCTGTTTCCTTACTAAACAGTTTTGACCCAGGGGCTTGACACACATTTAAAATGAGCATCACTAATCCCTGACAGCCAACAAAAAGTGGTTTCCTTCTTTGAACTGGAGAAACTTACAAAGATTTCTCTTCTCTTAGATTGAGTGTGATCCTGCTATTGCTATGGATTTTCTAGGAGTAAGAAGACCTGAGCTCTTGACTTCCATGACCATAAATTAGCTTAGTCACATACTTTTCTCTCTCTTTTGATATTTTAAAGAAGTTCCTTTTTAATTTAGAAAATAACAGTGATAGTATTATGAAAGGAATCATTTCTTAGTCATTTCTAAATCCTTAAAAAGTGTTCACATAGGCATGTATTGAATGCTGTTGAATGAGATGAATGTTCAAAGTCTCAGCTTTTCTTATTTTAATTTATCTCCACCTAGTCCTCCTGTCCCAATCTATCCAGCAACTGCTTACCTGTCTCATATCATGCCTTGTACACTTACATCATCATATGTGCTTCACCACTTCCCTCCGCCTAGAAAACTCCATGTCCTTCTTACTTTGCAATTCAAATGATATTTTAACTTTCTAAGCCTTCCTGACTCTCCTGCTCTCTGATCACTCAGCATTTGGAACTTTCCTCTATTACAATTTATTTTACCATAGAAGCTTAATTATTTATTCTCCCTGCTTCTACCTCTCCTGCCTTTCACTATGACAGACCTCACATACCTATGAAAGGTTTGCCTTATAAGTATGCCTTTGACCTCCTGGTGTCAGAAACACCTGGAATGCTAATTTAAATTGCTGTGTTCTGGATCATATCCTAGACATTACATCAGAATCTCTAGAAATGGGTCTCAGGGATCTGTATTTCAAAGGCATTTTCTTGGAGATACTTGTGCACACTAAGATTTAAGAACCAGGTGTTAGATGGTATTAGAACCTGCGGGAAGGGACTATGCTGTCTGTCTTCATATTCCTAGCACTTTGCAAATAGTAAACACTCAATTTTTGTGTATTGAATGAGCAAGTAAATGTTCAGTGTAATATTAGAAGTATGTGAATCCTAGGAATTCTAAGGTTAACATGTTTTATTGCTCCAGATTGGCTCCTATTTTGGTAGTGTGCTGTGTTCAGTTGATGTGGATAAAGACACTATTACAGATGTGCTCTTGGTAGGTGCACCAATGTACATGAATGACCTAAAGAAAGAGGAAGGAAGAGTCTACCTGTTTACTATCAAAAAGGTAAAAAAAAAAAAAAAATTAAACTAACAGTTTAATTTGCTTTAGTATTGACAATTTAACCTGCATTTGGAAAGAAAAATTTATTATTATTGCATGATAATTTGCACAGATAGTATGGTTTACATTTCATCATTTTTCAGGATGTCCCTGTTAAGTTATGATTGTAAAAATTACATTAATGGGAAAAACTAGAGTTGAATGTATAGTGTACTGCCATTTTCCATGAGAGGTCTTTGAATATATAGTCTCATGCAAACAAAGCCATTCTAGGTGTACATTATTTATTGAAATATGCATACACACAAACATTTGTGTATTTCTCTAGTATCACATGTAATTTTTTCTATAAAGACAGAAATAACATGGCAATGCTATCTTGTTATCAGTTGACAGTGAAAAACACAAGTTGCACCAGGCACATTGTAAATTCCATGTGATCCCAGATGCTTTCTACATTAGTTTGTCAGGAAGTGTCATTGCTTAGTGTAACATTTAGGCATGCATCCAACTCTTGAAGGTTCAAGTCCTTCCACAAAAAAAACCATACGTGAACATGGAAAAGCATAATATTTCCAATTTGTAGACTGAACTCTCTAAATCCATGTATATAAATATAGTTAACTCCTTGAAATAAAAAAAGAAAACCAAATTAAAGACACAGATTGACACAGAAAATTATATGACAACAGAAGGGAAAGGATGGAAAAGAGAAGCTGATGTTAAAGTAGTAAATATTATGGTTAAGTATTGTGATATTTTGTCGTACCCGATGTATTGATATTTATGTAAAAATTAACCTCTTAACAGATGTAATTAGTTAAAACAATTCTAAAGCATTTATACATATAAAGAATGTATAATTGAGTATCCACAAAGGCTGGACCTATTTACTTGTTTGAAAAACTGACAAATCCCCCATTCTTTAAATATTTCTTACTTGTGAGATATACTGAATTGTCATTAATTGTTGAAAATGAAAAGATCTTTTAATACCGTGTCAAACTCAGTAACAATTTTTGTAAGATTATAATAGAGGAGAAAGAATCAACACTAACCCAGTTTCATGGTTGAGAAACATTGCTTTCTTGTGAAGTCATGAAATATTTCCATACTTTATTATGAAATCTAAGAAAAAAAATTGTGTTTTACAAGGAAATGTCTTTTCCTTCACACAGAATTATTTAGTGTTTTTAATAAGGGAGATATTAATCTCATTTTCTACTTCCTATACCATTATAATTATGTCACTATTTGGTCATTTTTACAGAAAGCCTAAATTAAGATATTGTGTTTTATTTTGTTCTGTGTCTGCTTTAATTTCATTCAAGATATTAGTAGTTTTCACCAGAAAAATTTTAAATCAAAAGAATTATTGAGAGGAAAATAAGACCAAGAAATTGATGCTGTTCAGCTACAGGAAAGAGAATTGTCTCCTTTCACCTTGGTTTAGGAGCAGATATTTATGACCTTACTGAAATTCTTATTTATAATTCTGATCATAAATAGTTCAGGTTTAAAATTCTATCCATTTTTAACATTAAAAAATTAGTTTGGTCATTGATTGCTCTGAAATTTATTTTCATTTTTATCATATGTTTTTCACTTTTTAAAATGGATGGGGTCTTGCTCTGTCACCCAGGCTGGAGTGCAGTGGTATGATCATAGCTCACTGCAGCCTCTAATTCCTGGGCTCAACCAATCCTTCCACTTCAGCCTCCTGAGAGCTAGGACTAGAGGTGTGTGCCACCACTCCTGGCTAACTTTTTACAAAAATATTTTGTAGAGACAAGGTCTCACTATTGCTTAAGCAGGTCTCAAATACCTGGCTTCAAGCAGTCCTTCTGCCTCAGCCTCTGGAATCTTTGGGATTACAGGCATGCGTCACCACACCCAGCTGCTCTGAATTTTAATTATACAAGTTGTAAGGTTTGCTTTAATCATCCTTTTGTTCCCCCTTTGCAAGGGCATTTTGAGTCAGCACCAATTTCTTGAAGGCCCCGAGGGCATTGAAAATGCTCGATTTGGTTCAGCAATTGCAGCTCTTTCAGACATCAACATGGATGGCTTTAACGATGTGATTGTTGGTTCGCCACTAGAAAATCAGAATTCTGGAGCTGTATACATTTATAATGGTCATCAGGGCACTGTCCGCACGAAGTATTCCCAGGTAATCCAGGAGCTGCCGAGACGTATGTATTTGTAGGTCTTACCATGTTAGACGTAGAAAACATCATGTAAACCATGCAATCCATCCCTCTTATTTTCTAACTTCATTATTTCACTCAACAAATGTTAAATGAGCCTCCACTATGTGCCAAGCACTGTTCTAGACTCTGGGGATGCTATAAGAACAGGACAGACACAATTCTGATCTTTGTGTGCCTTATATTACATTGGAGGAGACAAATGAAAAAAAAAGTAGATAAGACCAAGCGTTCCAGACAGTAATAAAGGAAATTTTTTAAAAGCAAATGAAATTAAAATAGGAAATAAAATTTCAGAAATAGGAGTATGAGGTGGTTGAAGGGGTGACTAATGAGGCCTCACTGAGCAGTCAATTTTGAAGTAAGACCTGAGGGAAAAGAACTAGGAACAGAACCCTGTACCTGAACTTGCTTCAATTTGCTCCCAGTCCACTGATCTTTTCACTGGTTTATGATTTTTATTAAAGATGTATGCTGTCTCCTTGATGAAAATGTGGCTGTAAGAGTGATACAGAGATCAGATAATAAGACGTGACTAAAAAACTAATCTTTAGAATTTGTAGAGAATGTTTATTCAAATAAACAAATGTTTATTCCAGATTGTGTTTACAATCTGGAAAATGACTACATAGGAAATATAATAATGAAATGCAGAGGCTGCCATTTTCTGGTTCAGCTGTTGTGTACTATAATTTCGTGTCAAACTTGCTCTTTTAGAAAATCTTGGGATCCGATGGAGCCTTTAGGAGCCATCTCCAGTACTTTGGGAGGTCCTTGGATGGCTATGGAGATTTAAATGGGGATTCCATCACTGATGTGTCCATTGGTGCCTTTGGACAAGTGGTTCAACTCTGGTGAGTCAGGAAGAGCCAGACACAAACTACAAATTACCTGCTAAGAAAGCAGAACATGTCTGTACTGATATTATAGAAATGCCATATACATTCTATAAGACTATAGGAAATTGATGTTTGCACAAAGGAATAAATGTGTTTTTCCAAGTGAGAAAAATAGATATATTTGCTCGCCATTAGAAATACATTTCTCTCCTCATATGGTGAGTAAAAACAGTGCATAGAAAACATAAATTTCTGGAAATGGTATCCAGGCTATTTCTGAATGTTATCTTCCAATAAATAGCCTTATCTCAGCATACAGAAGGGAAGCCTCATGAGAGTGCATTTAGAATACTGAAAATTCAGACAGCACAAGTAAAGTGTAACTTCTGTGTGACTAAAAGGTATATTTTAAAATTATTAGTCATAAACAATAAGCCATTATTTAGGTTTAGCTGACCTCTCATTGACTTCCATAGGAATTGAAGATTCAGGTGGAACAATATGAAGGTCATGTGATTCAAGGTCAAAAATAAATATATTGGACTGGCAAGGGAATAGAATCAGAAAGAAGTTGATTATTCAATCAAGAATCTCCATTCATTTGTCTCTGTCAAAAAAAATGTGCTTTAAAGTCCAAATATTTGAACAATAGAATAATATTCATTGATTGTTTTTTATTTCTGAGTTTAATGATACTATTTACAAATCTCACTTGTGCTTTTAAAGAATGAAGTGCATTATTTTTATTGAAGAATGAAGCTTTTATGTGGAAAAAATAAAACTCAAGAATAATATTTAAGACATTAAAAAACAACAAAATATATTTACTGAACAAATCAGTTAAAATCATTTCAGAGTAGCGTTATCAAGAGTACCTACATGTATCCCAGAACTTAAAGTATAATAGATAAATAAATAAATAAATAAATAATATGTTAAATGTGGATTATGTCAGTGATGCAGTCACAAATTAAAAAAAAAAAAATATGTCTGTCTGCCATCTTAGAGCCTTCAAATATAAACTACTGCTAACGTGCTTTAGAGAGAAAAATTCAGTAATGCTGGTACTGGGTCCTCTTTGATAAAGGATATAATACGTGTGCTCAGTAATAACATCCATCCATCTGTTCCTCTTTATGTCTTTTAGGTCACAAAGTATTGCTGATATAGCTATAGAAGCTTCATTCACACCAGAAAAAATCACTTTGGTCAATAAGAATGCTCAGATAATTCTCAAACTCTGCTTCAGTGCAAAGTTCAGACCTACTAAGCAAAACAATCAAGTGGGTGCGTAGATCTGAAATAATCTATATAGAAATTGGTTGGCTTACAGAGTTTTAGTCCTGAATATAACATATTTTGGGTTGTAGGCCAAGAGAAATAAGGGTCTTTGGTTACAGACACTTAAGTTTCCATACACTGGAGATGCCTGAGAATGGTTCATTAGTCATGGAAGGTTAGTTTAGATCTTCCTTCCACATCTCTAGAAGGTTCTGCTGCAGAAAGTTGTAATCTCTATGACATAACCAAGGGCCCTCCTGTTTCCATCCTTTGAGTTTCTCTTACCTCCACTTCCCTTACTTAAAACCTTGAGCATACACAGATTATGCTGAACTGTCACTCAGATGACTATATCATGTTGGTTATGCCATGATCTATATAGGACAGGTTCAGTAAAAGTATCAAGTATTTTTCCTGTTCTTGAGCAATTAATAAAAATGAAATAATGAAAGAAAACATGAAAAGCAATATATAACTTTTCTCAGTGTTTTAAATGTTCTAAATAATACAGAGAAATGAATAAAAGTCTGAATTATGTCTCATCAGATGGGGAAGGGTGAGGAAATCATTGTGGGCAAGTGTCAGCAGGAATTATTGTCTTTTCTCTTGGGCTGGCCAAGTTGTCTTTCAAGGCCTGGCAAAGGTCCTGCCTCCTCTTCGAAGCTTTTTCTAAGCACATTATCTCACCTTCATCTCTCCTGCCCCAGTTATCTCACCATGCTCAATACATAACTTGCAATTTAACACTTGATTCAAAACTACCTTCTTTCATGAACCACTGCTTCATGGGTCCCCATTCCCCTTCCATCAGAATTTGGCTTTAAACTTCAGAACCTGTAGCTCCTATAGGAATTCAGTTAAGTGACAAATACATTACCTTAAAACTGAAAACACAGAAATAGTTTATTTGCCATTATTCATACCAAGATACAAATAAGGTGAGAACACAAACAAAATTAGATTCAAATCTCAACGTGCTTTCCATATTTTCCTACTTTTCATATCCATTTGGAAGTTTTCCCTGCAGGTGTTCAAAGATTGACCTAATTTTGAGTAGCATATCTCACTTGACCTGCCTTGTAGCACATCTAACTGAGCACACATGATAGTTAAGTCAAAAACCGTTGCTGTATAAACATTGTGGCTAGTCTGCCTAATAGATTAACTTGGGAAATATATTAGTTGGCAGAAACAGCGGGCTGGTCAGCTCTTCTGGCCCTGAAGCAAAGATGTGTCTCACGTTATCTTCCCTTTTTGACTATACTTCAACCCTTATGGTGATGCACACTCAAAAATTCTACTTTCAGAGAATTTCCTTCCCATCCACAGCCTACCGAGGGTTTCTGGCCTTTCTTACTATTGGGCATCTTTCACTGTAAATCTTTTTTCCTGATGCTTTCAGGTCCACACTGACAAGCCAAGTGAAATGATTGTGAGCTCATTTGTCACTTCATTGCTTGGCAATAATAGTATGTAAGACATCAATCCCATCTTCACAACTGTGGAAAGTGAATTTATAAAGCATATGGTTTCTATCATTTATTGCATCAAGTGCACACTCCAGTTTAAGATTAATAACAGCCTACGAAACTATGCATCATTTTTACAAAGCTGCTTGAAAAAAGAAAAGGAAAAGCATTGTAACGTGGACTAACTTTGTCCTAACTGCACTCACCTCCCTGCCATTGTTTTTCCTTTACATCATCTTCACAACTTATTTTTAGTTTATTTAATTGTTTAATATTTTATCTATCTTTGTTGGCATTGTTAAGTCATTGGAGCAAGAAAAATTGTACAACATATATGATAGATTTTTTTCAAGGTAACATGTAGAATGCATATTTTGGGAAGTATATACAACCTTTAAAATATTGAAAATAATAAAGTAAGATAGAATAACCCCAAATAAGGCAGTAAGGCAGCTGATGCTGTGAATGGCACCAGATGTTCTCTCTCAGTTTTGGACATATGGCCAATGGACTTTAGTTGAAGGTAATAATTCTGATAGTTTAGACATTGGCTACTGACATCAGTTATTATCACATAATTTTTTTTCATGGATTGGTATTAGGAAACAGAGATTCAAAGAGGGTAAGTAAATTGCCCCAAGTCACAGAGCTCATAAACAGCAGAATTAGGATTCAAACCAAGTCTGCCTGATTGAGACTTTATTGCTGCAGTGTTGCATGCATTTCCCTATGTGAGCATCTAGAATAGGCCAGGCACTGTCCATGTTCCGTTAGAGTATCTCTGTTAATCTTCACAATGACAATTAATTCTTACAACTGGATAGAAGCAGAAAGACCGTGAGCTCTTATTTCAAAAATACCCAACTTTTACTTCTGACTAGCTGCGTGAACTTAGGTGAATTATTTTACATCACTTATTCTAGTTCATTATTTGAAAAATAAGATAATAAATTCACTTTCCAGATTCATTGTAAAACTTGTATGGCATATATGAGAATGTGTCCGATCACTGGTGCTCAGCAACTGTTCCTTTCCATTCTGTGTCTCCGCGTTATGAGTAATGAAGCCCGTGCTTGTGGGAGTGAGCAATTTGCCCAGGTTCATCACAGTAGGTTTCCTGGCGGCAAGTCTAGTTTTCTTTCCACTGCTCCCAGCCACATTTCTCTGAATCACATTTCTTTGTATGCACAGTGACCTACGTCACATCAGAGCTAGAATGACAAATGGTATGTGGTGCTAGCTATGGTTCACAAGCCACCAATACGAAGACTATTTCCATATTTTCTTGATGTAAGATACTTTGTCCAAGAAGACACAATAAAGCAGAGATGCTTTTTCCTATAAGTTGATTTGAAATAACATTTCTTTATGATTTTTTATCATAGCCATTGTATATAACATCACACTTGATGCAGATGGATTTTCATCCAGAGTAACCTCCAGGGGGTTATTTAAAGAAAACAATGAAAGGTGCCTGCAGAAGAATATGGTAGTAAATCAAGCACAGAGTTGCCCCGAGCACATCATTTATATACAGGTGAGGCCTCAGGACCAACCCTTTTCATTTTATTTCTTCTTAAAGACAAATGAGTGGTAAAAGTCTAAAATAGAAGCTTATGAGTTAGAACATGTTTGCCCTTCTAATGAATGCCTTTCTTATGTAATTCCATAAATAAGAAGCATATTTACTTTATGCTAATACTTATGGTCACAATCTATTATTATATAAGTCAGCAGCATCAGATTTCATTCGGAATTGCAATGAAAGGGCTAAAAATACAATTCTTAAAGAAATCATAGATATAGTGTTTTCTTAAATGTTTAACAGAGAGAACTTTCCATTGGCAATAAATTTTATTTTGATAGTTTCCTATCAGGGAAAAATTTTATTTATTGTTCAGCTACTGAAAAATAAGTCCAATTGTGGTTTCTACTATTAGATTTCAGTTAACATAGATGCAATATAGTAGATTATGAGATAACAATTATTTGTTCTAATTGTATGCTATAATTACTGTATTTAACATGGATTTTGAAAATTTCCCAAGTAAGAAAAATGCTTTTCAGGAGAAAACTTCCAACCAGAAATTTATTTTATAAATGATGTGAATATTTCCACCTTGGAAACCACATAATGGCATTTGAAAGGATAATTTACTCAGGAAACCACTTTTTTAAAAAGGATATTTAAGTACTTTCTTAGAATATGGTTCTCAGAATTTAAGGAGCAAAGGAACTGCCAGGGAAACTTTTGGGAAATGTATATTCTGGGTTCTTACCATCAGAAATCTAGGTTTGAAGGCCCAAGGAATATGCAGGTCTAAGGAGCACCACAATTATTTCTCATGTAAATGGATGGTACAGAGAGATCTTACTTCAAGAAATGCTAAGTGTAAACACTAGAAAAACATAAAGTTGACAGTTAAATGAATTAAAATCAGTTGAGTTGTTTAGTTAATTTTTCAGTTTGAAGGTTTCTTGTTTGTGAAGACATGGACTTCTTTGTTAAGGTGACAATTTTATAGATTCTTTAAGGGAAAAAATCTTTTTTCCCTTCTCTCTCATCCTGTGCTAAGTGGTGGATGAGATTATACTCGTAATCCCTAGTGAGGAAATGGAGACAGCCAAGCTGTTTTTCTTTAAAGTAAAAAAAAAAAAAAAATCCTCTTTCTCTATTTGATGTCAATGCCAGTTAAAGTACATCCTACTTGCTAAGCCCACAGCCAGCCAAGGAAACATCTCCTCATAGCCCAGAGCTGTCATGGTAGACAGGCCCCCAGAAGGAGTAAGTCCTTCTGGGAGGACTTCTGGGCGGCCCCCAAGAGTTAAGAGTAAGTCCTGCCTGTGAATGGACTAAAGAATACCAAGATACTGCTTCTGAGTAAAAGGCAAATTCAAATGTTAGGGTTTCACTTGTATAGACATAGTGCTTTCTTGACAAGAACTGATGAGCTTCATTAACTAAGAATCCCTGCTTCAAATTCTTACTAGACCTGAGTCTCCTTTGGTTTCTTAGTAGAAGAGAGGCTAAAAGCAGAATTAGATTGGAAGAAAAGAAGTGAGAGTCTTGATTATTCAAAACAAGGATATTCTACATAATTGAGAGCTGACTGTGCTCTTAATTGTAAACACATTTGTAATCATTTTCTTGTTTTAATGCTGCTGTGCCCTAATAAACTGACTCTGTCTCTCCCTGTATGTTTGTGTGTGTGTATGTTTAGGAGCCCTCTGATGTTGTCAACTCTTTGGATTTGCGTGTGGACATCAGTCTGGAAAACCCTGGCACTAGCCCTGCCCTTGAAGCCTATTCTGAGACTACCAAGGTCTTCAGTGTAAGTGCAGTTTACACTACCTGGATTTAGACAGGCAAACAAAGTTTCACAGTCACTACAATAGTGTCTGAAGAATACTTAGGATGCAGCCTGTAAATTCTTAATTTTCTAAATGAAATACAATTACATTTGCATAAAGTTCACTAACACTTAAGTTCCATGACAGTAAGGATTTTTGTTTTTCTTGTTCACTGCTGTATTTCCAGTCCCTAGACCTGGGCCTGGCCCATTGTATGTGTTCAACACATATTTGTTGAAGAAATAAATAAAAATAAAGTAAATGCCTTGTGCTCTCCACTCAAAAAATATTACCAATACATATGAGGCTCTGTGTATAGCTGTCCCCGCCATAGACACTTTCATCTAGCTCCCCCGTGCAAATGATTATCTTGAATTTTGTGTTTATTAATGCTTTTCTTTATTGTTTTGTTAAACATTTATATATTCCTAGAACATTGTTTGGTTTTATACTTTATGTAACTAGAATAATACTGTATGTATTCTTCTGTAATTTGCTTTTTCAACCCAAGAGCAAATGTATGGATCTTTTTTTCCTTTTTTGTAGATTCCTTTCCACAAAGACTGTGGTGAGGATGGACTTTGCATTGCTGATCTAGTTCTAGATGTCCGACAAATACCAGCTGCTCAGTAAGTTTTACTTTAAAGCTCATTGTAAAATGTAGAAATAAAAGACACACTAGATTACTTTATTCAAGTGAATGTTTATAGAGTTTTTCTACAAAAGAAACATTCATAACTAACAAGACCTTTAAAAACTAAATTTCAATGTCTACTATCCACATAAGAGTAAATTAATAAGAAATATAAAATTATCTGTATTTAAATGGTTCTATTCCCTCTAATATAATAGCAACAAAGAACAAAATCCAAATGCACTTACTTATTTGTTGTCAGTATCATTTTAATGCAAAGATAGTTTATTACAAAGTAATTTTCTCAGTATTCTAGGTAAGTCTAAAGAGTTTAGTTTTTTAATGAGTGAAATTTTAAAATACTGGTCTTTTTATTTAACAGTAATGGCTTCCTCCCTCCTTTTTGCTTTTAACAGAGAACAACCCTTTACTGTCAGCAACCAAAACAAAAGGTTAACATTTTCAGTAACACTGAAAAACAAAAGGGAAAGTGCATACAACACTGGAATTGTTGTTGATTTTTCAGAAAACTTGTTTTTTGCATCATTCTCCCTGCCGGTATGTGATGAGACCCTGCGCTTACTTCCACCATGTTTCCTACTTATCGATCACTCTATGTCCTCTGAGTTGTTTAAAGAAGCACCTTAACCCTCAGCATGATCAGTCTGAACTTTGTGGCTTCCGACTAGTTAAATCGCATGAGAACATAGTCTGGCTCTATATCTAGATTCTGCTTGACAACTCGGGTCAGTTTTTCCCTTATCCTGAGACTTGGCAGCAGTAGCCAGACACTCCCATAACTCTTCTTGAGCCATCAGTGTGATGAGGCTGCTGCATTCTGCACAGATGCGGTGCACTTGCTCTGAGACATTTGAGTCCCAAAGCTCAGCCTGAACTTTGCAACTACGGTTGTTGCTGCTGCCAAGATGATGCACATCAGCAAAGCCAGCTAATCACATTGACTTGATCGTTATACCAGGAACACACTTGACCGTGAGTGCTCCCTGGTCCCTCCCCTACCACCAAATGATGAAGAGAAAAGGGAGAGAAGGAAAAGCTGAGATTTTCCAAATGAACTACTTGATTAAAGGATTAAATAGTGATTTCATTTAATTTAAAGTTAATGTGATCTTAATACGCTTAGAGTTCTAAACCTAATCTGACCTTGCTGTTTAAACATCCTGTGCCAAGTGGCAACTACTTCTTTTAAAGGGGGGGAAAAAAACCTGAAGAAAACAAAACAACAAAAATAAAAACAAAACAAAACAAACCAAAACAAAACAAAACCCTTCAAATTATTTAAAATACAAACACCAATATATGATTTTATTTTCTTCTCTTGAAAATGCTTCAAATAAATTGAGAAAAACATATTCCTAAAGCCAGCATTTTAAAATACTGAATTAAAGCTATTTGTGCATCTGAAATCTAAAAACTATCTTTTTCTGAGGAAAAAAATACAGTATTTAATCTTTTCTTTGGTTTGTTGGATGTCCTAGGTATCTTTAGGGCTAGCAGTAAAAATAGTATATTAGCCACCTGGGCAGTATAAAATTTCAAGTCTTGAGGGATAGTAAATTATTTCAGTATGAACCAACCTTACTGCTAAAATGTCACTGTACCTCTTTCACCAGGTGTGTGCATGCACAGCCAAATATTATATGCCAATTGATCATTGTTGTTTCCTTGGTCTTGTTCAGGTTGATGGGACAGAAGTAACATGCCAGGTGGCTGCATCTCAGAAGTCTGTTGCCTGTGATGTAGGCTACCCTGCTTTAAAGAGAGAACAACAGGTACAACCTGCATTTCATCCTCCAGTCCATACAAGCCCTCCTCAGCACATACGCTGATTTACCAACATAACATCCTGCTATCATAATTTGATAGGCAACATAAAATAACAGGCTGCATACTTAGGGGAAGTTTTCAATATCTGAATGTTTTCTTTAAATTATTAATAAAAATGGGATCTTCTCCATGCAATTCATTCCAAAAGGTACACACAATATGGAAGGTTCTTTTTGTCTAAATATGTCGAGCAACATTGGTCAAAGCACTATACACAGAGTCATGGCGATCATTTATTAACCCCTGTTAACAAGTTTCACATCAGCTCATAGCTTCTAAATTCAGACAGGTATATGCACCTGGATAACTTACACGTGTCACTTGGAAGTCAAGCTTCTCTAATTCTAATGTGAAGCATAGTGAAACAAGGTGGACAAATAAAGATATTCTACAAATTGGAAAACTTAAGGTATATAAAATTCAGAATCAAATTTGAGTGAGTTTACTTTTATGGGAAGCATTTTTTTTTTTCACATTGACCCCTGAGTATGAAGCACCATAGACTGAGAAATTTTAATTTTGTCTTTAGGTGACCTTTACTATTAACTTTGACTTCAATCTTCAAAACCTTCAGAATCAGGCATCTCTCAGTTTCCAAGCCTTAAGGTAAAACATAATGAAGTCATCAATGGAATGATGGATAGCTTTATATTTCTCTTTAAGTAATTTCATAATGTTTCTTTCTATAGTGAAAGCCAAGAAGAAAACGAGGCTGATAATTTGGTCAACCTCAAAATTCCTCTCCTGTATGATGCTGAAATTCACTTAACAAGGTAGGTGAAGCAGTGGGTAACCTGTTATCACTAACACCAACTCTAGATCAGAAGATTTTTGGCTCATGGCTAAAGAAGTCCTCTGTATGCTCATTCTTAACTGAAGAATTTGTATTACAATTCTTGTCAACTAAAACAGAAGTCCACAGACATATCGGTCCCTAGGAAAACCTTGAGGGACTCATTAGGTTTATTAAACTAACGAGAACAGCCCAGAAAGGCAGAGAAAAATCCCTGTAGCCACACATCACAGGCACACTTCACATTGCAGGCCCTCTGAGTAGCTGCAAACATTCTCAAAATGTTGAAACAGAACTCTCAAAGGTCCTGAGAATTGTCTGCACTTTCTTCTCACTGCCTGCTTCCCGTTGTATATGAGATCTCAAGCGGTATCCCCATTCCTGGACATTGAGGCCCCAAGCACAATGTTTTACACACAGTAGTTCCACAATAAATATTGAATCTAGTCACGGTTTGAATATTCAAATATTGAAACTAGATCAAGTCTAGTTTCTGAGTGAAAAATTCCTAACATATCAGATTAAGGTTTTCTTCCAGCCAGGAGGAAATGAGGTTTTTTCCAAAGGAGGTCATCCATAAAGAAATGCTTTGTTCCCTGTTTTTACCTGCCCAAAGCAAGCAAACCTGAGAGCAGTGGTGTAAATGTTACTGGTTGATACCAGCTGTCTTTAATTGTTCAGGGGGACAGGTGTCTTGGGAAGTGGGTAACATCCACATTTCACAGGTTCTAATAGATTGATATCACTTTAACTCATACATAGAAATAAGGTGAGTTCATGGCAGACAAACTGGGGCACAGTTGTGCAGGTGCAATGGGCCCAGGTGATGCTCTCCTACAGGCCTGGGAGCCAGAGTTCTCTACCTGGTGAAGCACTAGGACAGCTTCCCAGCACAGATCAATGACCCCTGAATAGCACACTGCAGCACTTTCCCAAGAAATCCAGTGACAGCAGGTTTGTCTAATTTCTACCACAATCACCCCAGCCCCTAAGAGCATGGAATCTGTAGATCATTCAATAGCTCTCTGAGCAAAAACAAAAAGGAAAATATGTCATCATGTCTAGAGCTTGAGCCAAAGAGCAAAGATGAAAAGAATGCTTCTGTATCAAGTGAGTTGCAAACAGCACAAGCAGAAGCAAAATACAGTCCAAATAATACATCTCTGAAAATGTCATCAGTAACTGCAGACTTCAAAGGATCCCCACTTGCTAAAATAAGACATTGGAAACAAATGCAACCAACTCAAATTGATGTTACCACATTACCTGAATTTTTTCCTTCTTATATTGATCCTTTCTTCTAAATATTTTTTGTCAATACAGTCTTTTTATTATTCTACTGTCCTACAATGGCCAATATTTTCCCAGATATTTAAGAATGAAATAAATATAAGATTGAAATGAGACTTTACTTTTACTAATTATCATATTTGGCATGTATTTTTGTAATGGCAACTTGAATTCAAATGTATTCTAATGTTCTTTAAAATATATCCTCAAAAACATTAACGTAGAGAATTATAAAGGACAAAAGCTAAAATGGCTCCTAGTCCTACTACCGAGAAAACCCAAACATTAGAGAAAGATACACAGCAAGAGATCATCCCTCCCCACCTTCCCTAGTGCCACTCCCCCTAGGGGACTAACAAGACTTTTCCGAATATCTTCCAGATACAGGGTTGCTTATCTACCAGGATATATGCATATAACACACATACACATATATACACACACGCACATTTTATTACCCAAAAGGAATGCTAAAACGCTCTTCTGTACCTTGCATTTTACATAATCTTAGAAAAGTTTTCATATGAGGACATACAGATCCAACTTATTCCAGTTCTGACTGGATCATAATTTATATAACTAATTCAATATTAACAAGATATTTGGTTGTTTTGCATTTTTATTTTGTTTGGTTTAACCATCACAAGCAATGCTGCAAGAAAATTTAACAAACATCTTTACAAACTTTTGAAAAAAATCCTACCCAATAACTTAGTGTATTTCTTAGCAACAACTTTGATACTGTATAACTGTACAATTATACTGTAAAAAAAAGATGGGTGGAAATAGCGATAATAGTATTATTTCTGAAGCAGGATACCCCTGAGTATAGATAACTACTATTATAAATATATTGATCAACACTTAAGTAGCCTAAGGAACACTTAAGTAACAAATGGAAAAGTGTCAGATCTCTTTAAAATGCAAAGAGAGACCATATTAATTTAGAAATTGGCCCCATTTAGGATCTCACACAAAGATCTTCTGGAAGGCATAGGAAATAATTCATGCACACACATCTAAGCTTTCTGTTTCAAATCCTAGTCAGTTTTCCCATTTTCCATGTCAGGCTGACAAATCATTGTTTCCTCTCATATATAACCTTGACAAATACATCCACTCAAGTCTCCCTATGACATATTTTCCTTTTATGGATTTGGAAGAAATTCATTAAGGCATAAAAGAGGGAAAGACAAGGTTTTAGTACAGAAACCCAAAAAATTCTACTTCAGAAAATGCCCACCCCAAGTTTTTAAGAAATAGAATTAACATTCTATAATTAACATAAATTGTCCACTGGGAATAAATGGAAAGGATATGCACAGTGTTCTCAGACCCCTACCCTCACCACTCATACCTTAATCCCCAACCCAAAGAAGCTACCCTGGTTGGAATCCCACCTCAGAGCCCCAGAAATGAGTGAGGAGAGGGGAGGTCCCCAGTTTCATTCTAGTCTGAGTGGTCCTATGAGGGTTTCTCTGATCTCATCATCACTTTGCTTGCAGAACTTCGTTGGTAATCTTAAGCAAAGAAGTTAAGATCAATCCAGTGTGTTTAGTTCCAGAATACTAAAACCTCTGGATCAGCCATCTTAAAGGTGGTCTCTACACTAATGGCGGAAATAGATTTGACCAACCCCATTCAGACTAAACCATTTGAATTGGTTTGCAGCTAAAGAAGGATAGGAAGAATGAATAATACAGGCATCCAGTAATGAACACTGAAGGTGCTCAATACCCTGTTATTACATTTGAGCCTACAGCAAGGTGAAAACCCTTGGCTTATAAATCCATTTATTCAACCAACAAGTACTGACTGTCTACTATGTTAACATGCTAGTCAATGTAATCGTAATCTTGGGAAGAGTTCTACTGTTAATTCTAAAGTAATACTTTTGTACTTATTTAGAAACTTGACAACTGGTAGACATATAATGCACAAACTCTTAGCAGAAAGTCCACAAAGAAATATGTTTTGAAAGGAATTTATGTTAGTCTTAGAAACATACATTGGACCATAAGCCCATAACAAGCATTTCTTTTGATATGGTGCCTTTGTAACTAAAAGTAAAATTTATTTTAACCTAAGCTATAAGATACTTAAATAAAAGAAATATTAACGTTCAAGAACAAAAGCAAACTAAAATATTTGGCTTTACAAACATCATCCAACAGATCTACCAACATAAATTTTTATGAAATCTCTTCGGATGGGAATGTTCCTTCAATCGTGCACAGTTTTGAAGATATTGGTCCAAAATTCATCTTCTCCCTGAAGGTTGGTAAGCCTGTCGTAAGGATGGCAAATCCAGGAGAAAGCGAGAAGAAAAAAAAAAATGAGTCTGGAAATAAAAGGAAAAAGTAAAAAGAAATTGAAATACATCCGTGGTTCTCAAACTTGGGTGTGCATTAAAATCACCTGGAGGAATTGTGAAAACACAGATACTGGGCTTTATCTCCAGGGTTTCAGATTCAGTAGGTCTGGGGTGGGCCTCTACATTTGCATATCTAACAAGCTCCCAGGTGATGCTTATGCTGCTGGTCCAGGTGCCATACTTTGATAACCGGTAGGCTAGATCATAGACAAGTAAACAACTGGGCTTTGTGCATAGATATGTGTCTTGGGTAAGAGATAATTGATATATTTTGAAGGCAAATGTTCAATATTAACCAACAGAGTATTACTATAAAGGTATTGGTGTGGGTAAAAGTCTTTGGAATATAATTATTATGTCAATTTATCCTTAGAGACCACTTCTGTTTGAATTTTACTTTTGTATACAAATCTGTACAGCAATACTAGGTAGTATCTAAAAATATTTTTGAACCAAATTCTATTTACTATTAGAAAGCAATTATTAATCTAAAGATTACTACCAGATATATGAAGATAAATTAATTTGTGAAAGAATAACTATTTTATAATGTAATAAAATTAAATAAACTTTGGAAAGTAAAAAGAATTTATCCACTATCATAAGTCAATACCATTTTATTTTTGTTCATTTCTCACTAGTTTGTTACATGGTTGCAACCCTACAACTTTGTGATAAAAAAACCTTTAGAAGAATCTTTATGATCTACATACTATTATAATAGAATTTATAAAATGTGGATGGTATTTGGCAACTACATTCTTTAATGAGGCATCTATTCAAGTAGTGGTAATAACATTCATAGAGTGTGTAATAAGTACCAGCCGTTGTATCAAGTGCTTTACATACGTTATCCCATTTAGTTCCCAGATCAGTTTTGAGCTTGGTATTATTTCCAGGGATGTTATTTAAAATATTTAAATAACCAGTAGGGTATGAGCCCTGGCCAATTAGAACAGAAACCCCCACCAGTTAGAACAGATGCTGTACAAGTGCCCTGCGCCAGCACATTCCTACTGAATTTCTGATCATCTTTATTTTACAAATAAGAAAAGCACAGAGAGGTCAAGTTCCTTGCCCTAGCCACACTGCTAATCAGCAGCAGACTGGGACAGCACACCCTGGCATCCCAACTCCGCAGATGGCACTTTAACCATTTATACCACATGTCTTGCAAGTCACAAATTACTTAACCATTAACATTGTAGATGTTGAGTTTTTTTCCATTGAGCCATTTATGCCTACTGTTCCATTATTGGAACATGAAGCATATGGGAGTTACTTATATCCTACTGCTCAAAGTCATCGCCAAAGTATGATTGAAATTTCAAAAAAAATGCAACCTCAGGCATAAATGTGTTTTAAGAGGTGAGACACAGAGACTTGAAGTGTGACTATAAAGTGATGGCTCACTTTCATTTGGACTCAATCTTATCACTTCATAGTTGCCCTTCATCAACACAGGGGTTACTGGTGAATTTCCTGGCATCATGTACATCCTGTTGCAGTACTGGCACATTTTATTCTCTACGTAGGTAACAACAGGAAGTGTTCCAGTAAGCATGGCAACTGTAATCATCCACATCCCTCAATATACCAAAGAAAAGAACCCACTGATGTACCTAACTGGAGTGCAAACAGACAAGGTAAAGAATACAAAATTGCCTAAAAAATATGCACTTTCAAGATGGAAATAACCCATGAGATTAGGGTGATCATGTCTGACATTTTATGGATGGGAAACAGACGGTAACTCCTATGCAGCCCAGGTGCCAACTGACTAGCAGTTACTTTCATATTAGAAGAATATTGTTATAAGAAAACAAATGTTTGAGTCTAGGGAATTGCAGGTGGGCAGAAATTATTCCAAAAACCCCATTTTGGCCAGGTGAAGATCTGACTTTGACAGGCCCTGTGCAGGCTGGGAAGTGAGAGGCTGAACCTGTATGGGAAGCTTAGCAGGTCTTCACAGCTGCAGTGAGGCGCTGGTCTTCAGGCAGCCAGCCTGGACTTTCTCCTGGTAATACTCAACCCTGGCTGTTCATTTTAATCCCTCTGTTTGCTCTTTTAAATAAGAGTGCCCAGACCTAACCCAGGTAATTAAATCAGAATCTCTAGGGATAAGATTCTTACACTAGGGTTTTTTTTTTTTTTTTTTTTTTTTTTTCCTGTGCTCTTTATTCTGTTCTATTATTCTATTTGTTTACCCTTTAGCCAATACCACATTCTCCTAATTACTGTAGCTTTATAGTTCAGTCTTGACATCAGGTAGTGTCAGTCCTCCAACTTTGTATTTCTCTTTTAGTATTGTGTTGTGTTGCCTGTTCTTGGTCTTTTGCCTCTCCATATAAACCGTAGAATTTGTTTGTTGATATTTGCAACACTAGGGTTTTTCTTTAACCACCCCCACTCCATCCACCCCGTGGTTCTAGCACGCATCCTGGGCTGACAAGCACAGCTCTAGCCAAACCCCTTGACACTAGCTCATCTTCAGTACAACAGTTGTATTATTCAATAGTTGTTTTATTCCTGTAGTGTGCATAGGGGGCTACAGGAAAATCAAAACCCTAAAATGTTCCAGAGAAAATTACCCTGAATTATTCACAGTGTTTAGCTATTACAGATTTGCCTCATCATATGTAGGCTATAAGAACCTAGCCCACCTCATCAGTTCACATCAGGAGCATTTAAATACTTCATGTTTACCTGGCGATTATATGAAGTGTGGCCAGGTCAACGGCATTGAAAGAATCCTAACAGCCCTTCCCAGGCCCCTACAAGTGATAGGAGGATTTCCTAACATGTTGAAAGGAACATTATAAACTGTTTTCTTTCTGAAGTCTGATCTGGTGTTCTTCTTTTATAGGCTGGTGACATCAGTTGTAATGCAGATATCAATCCACTGAAAATAGGACAAACATCTTCTGTATCTTTCAAAAGTGAAAATTTCAGGCACACCAAAGAATTGGTGAGGACAAGTTAACGTGTGAAAGCTCCCCTTATTCATTTATTTCACCTGTGATCAGGATGCTGCTTTTCTCCTACCAACTGATATCATAGAGCTTACTTATTTTGACTTTGATGCTTATATGAGTCAAGATTTAGAAAATATTAGGTTGTGCAAAAGTAAATACAGTTTTGAAACCCACAATTACTTTTGCACCAACCTAATACGTGTTCAAATCTAGGTTACTGGAATTATCTTATGCCACTTCTTATAAAATACAAGTTCCAGATTTCATGACATCAGAAAAACTCATGTGAAGCTGTTGTGTTTATGCATCGTGCACTTTGGAAATAAGGCAAAGAGCTGTGAAGGAACTGGGTGTGTGCTACAGAGGAGAAGCCCCTTAAATCCCCCTTCCACATACTACTGATGTTTTTTATTTAGCTGTGAAATATGCTGCTGCACTTCTTTGTTTTTCAATACTTTGTTATTTCCTGCTGTCAAGCTATGCCTGCTTCTTTGGGAAAGAGACGAGTCTAGCATCTGGCATGGTGCTTGGCACATATTAAATATTGAAATAAGTAAACCTTTAGTAAGCAATAACTCCTAAACAAACCACAGCTCTCCCCTATGAACAGTATTGGAATTCTCCTGGTTTTCTTTGATTGCAATTGTTTTATTTTGTGAAGGATGGGGAAAACAGGAAACCAGAAGAATAAAATTATGTTTCTTTAATGTGTATTAATCTACAAATAGGTAAATGCATGCTGTAACGGAAGTGGGCCATGCTACCTTTTGGCCTGGAACATAGGTCAATATGTCATAGATTTTCAATTAATCACTTCATTTTTTAATGCAGTTTTAAGTTCATGGAAGAATTGAGTGGAAAGTACAGAAGTTTCTCATATACCCCCTGTCCCACACAGCCTCCCCCACTATCAAAATCCTGCACCAGAGTGGTATAGTTATTACAATCGATGAAACTACATTAATGTATCATCATCAACCAAAATCCATAGTTTACATTAGGGTTCACTCTTGGTGTTGTTAAAATCCATGCTGTGGAATTTGACAAATGTAAAATGACATGTATCCCCCACTATAGTATCATACAGTGTATATTCACTGCCCTCCACATCATCGGTGCTCTGCTTATTCATTCCACCTGCCTCACTAGCCCTTGGAACCACTGATCCTCTTTCTGTCAACTTTTTTTTTAAATCTAGGGAGTCTATCATTAGGTTTAATGACAAAATTGTAGTACATTTTGTGTATGTTTAATAATTATATAACTAGTACATTGTTGATAAACAAGTTACAGTTTGGGGGGGTTGGTTTTTTAGGTCTTTTTACTCTTAGAAATAGTAGTGCAATGAACAGGCTTGGGGTACTTTGTTCCACACATTGCTGATTATCTCCTGAGGCTGTCTATACAGACAGGAAATGGATGGGGCAAAGGGTGTGCACTTTGTACATTTTGAGATATAGTCCCAAAATCCCTTGAAGGAGGGCAGGAGGGTTAGAACTACTAATAGCTCATGAGATTGTCTGTTTCCCTAGATGCATCCCAGCACTGGGTTTTATCTGTCTTTAAAATTTTAGCATTTATTTTTAACTCCTACTAACTTTCTCTCCCTTTTACCTTTGACTCCATACTATAAGAACTGCAGAACTGCTTCCTGTAGTAATGTTACTTGCTGGTTGAAAGACCTTCACATGAAAGGAGAATACTTTGTTAATGTGACTACAAGAATTTGGAACGGGACTTTTGCATCAGTAAGTATAAGTTTTATTTGTTCGATTTATCAACAGCAAGGAAATGTAAGGCTGCACTGACAAGTTCTTCCCCTTTGACAAAATAAGTATTCTGGCTAACGTCTGCAGTGGCCAAATCACCCAGAGCATTTCACCCTGGAAGGCAGCACACTTCCATCCCTTTCCAATGCTCATCCAATTTGTCACAGTGCCTCAGAGTCGCCTGGGGTACTTGTGAAAGGGTGTTTCTCAGACTCCATGCGACCTACCACATCGATGGTAATGGTGTCAAGGTCATCTCTGAGGCCCTGGGCTACAAGAGGCAGCCTGCTTTGTCCCGCTGTAGGACTTACCCCACTCTCCATCTTCCCAGTCTCCTCTGCCACACCCAAATCAAAATGCCTGTGCTCTGTGTCACTCCTTGAGCTCTCAGTTAATTGTATGATTGATCTCAAACCACCCAGTAGATGAATCTAGCATAAGGATACGTCTTCCTATATTACAGCCAGGTCATCACCCTGCTCTCCTGTTTTACCTTCCCTGATGGAAGAGCCCAGTGGACACATGATTTTCTAAGTCATCTCAATTCCCATGAAAAGTTTGAAGAAAAAGCCAAAACAATGTCATTGTTGTTGTTGTTGTTTTTCCATATGGCAACTGTGAATCTGCTCTAGTGATATTTGCTTTCAGCAGGGATTTTGGTAGCCAGAATTTCAGTCTGGCATGAAAAAATATAAGGATAGACAGGCCTCCTTAAATTGGACTGCTTGTGTGGCTAGCATTCCTTTTACTGACATGAGCTCCAATTGAGGAAGAAAAACAGAAATTAGTCTGAAACCTCCTGGGGACCTTTGTAGCTCTTATTAAATTTTTTTTTTTTCTTTTTAACAAATCTGTTCCCAAGGTGCTTACAGTCAAACGCTGCTCATTTTTTTTTCTTTTTACCGTTTCATGATCTCTTCAATAAACTCACTTCCTGCTATAGAGTTTTATAAAACTGGAGAACTCAGCACCCTCCAAACTCATCCCTGGAGTCAAATATAAGTAATATTCTTGGATAAAGACATGGAAGAAAAATGAATAGTAAAAGTTAGAAAAAATGCAGAATTGGGGGAATGGGGAAGTGAGAGGTTGAATATTTCTTCTGACTTGCTTGCTTTTACTTTGTTTTCCTGTTAGTTACATTTGTTTCAAGCCTTCAGGACAATTCTAGGTCCTTTAAGATGTGAAGAGTGCTGTTAGTTGTACCACCTTCCCAGCTGCTGCCGTGTGGTGCTTAGTTTTGCTCCATTGGTTCTTGGCTCCTTGGATTTGAGGAACAAATGTTTTCAGAGCAAATTTTGCCAACTGGAAGGAACACTGACTGTTGCACATCAAAATGCATGCATGCCAGCTCTGTAAAACACATTTGGATTTTCTCGAGTTTAAGACTACATCATTTTAACTGTGAGACTTTTTAAAGTACCTTCCCAACGATCTTCAGAAGCAGTAGTTTATTTCTGGGAGCAAACTTCCTAGAAAGTGTAGTATTTATGCCACTTTAATGTGGCTATGGTGGTTAAACTAAGGAAACACCCTTGAGATGTCAAGGTATGTCAAGTGACATACAAGGATTGGTGTCAAGTCCTACATATCTTCCTCCTTCATGAAAAGTCAAATGTTTATCCTCACCTTGCTTCCAGCAATTTAAGCAGCAAAGTGGATGTTTCTCGGACCACTTAGGAGGTCCAGTCTGAAATACGGATTGCATTTCCTGTATCTGAACCCACTGATGCACTGCCTTTTGTTGCTACCTTTTCTCTGATGTAGTGCAAGGCAACTTAACATTTCAAGTAATTTCATTACAAAGTGATTGATCAGGCCTCCAAATTGATGATAGAGTTGCTGCCATTTGTAAGGAGAAGTCTTCTTGAATGCTAGCAGGTGCGTTCCTTCACTCTCCAGATGCGTGTGCCATGCCTACCTCTACTTATTAACCCTGTGTTAATAAGTAGGATATTGTGTGCCTGTGAGAAGGGCCTATTTTGAGAATGCTATAAGAAAAATTCTTTCATCTTTAGTCTTTGGGGATTATGAAACCAGTATTTACGTTAACTGCCAGTTTTTTTCTTAAACTTAAACCATTATCAATACTCTTAATGTTTCCCCCAATAATATGTTTAAGAGGTTGGTGAGCATGGTTAATTTCTGATCCAGTCATCTATCTTGAGAAAATTAACAGTAACCAGAGACTGAGCCAGTGGAAAGGAAATAAAATGCTCAGTTTTTGGAAATACAGTCTTTCTGGCTCCCAGATATTGTTTAGCAAATTACCTCATAGAGTATGTCCAATAATGTGCCCTAGTAACCAGAAAAACTGAGTCCTAGTAGCCACAGCATGTGAAAGCAGCTCTAACATCTGAGCACTGCATTCTACTTTACAGTAGCATCAGACCTAATATAGAGAAAATAGTGAAATAGACACATCAAGAATGTTTCTATTGAAAAATAGACCTTTTTTTTTTTTTTTTTTTTTTTTCTTTTTAGACTAGCCTTGCTCTGTTGCCCAGGCTGGAGTGCAGTGGCTCGATCTCAGCTCACTGCAACCTCCGCCTCCCGGGTTCAAGTGATTCTCCTGTCTCAGCCTCCCAAGTCTCTGGGATTACAGGCGCCCACCATCACACCCGGCTAATTTTTTATATTCTTTAGTAGAGACGGGGTTTCACCATATTGACCAGGCTGGTCTTGAACTCCTGACCTCAGGTAATCTACCCCCCTCAGCCTCCCAAAGTGCTGGGATTATGGATATGAGCCATTGTGCCTGGCTGAAAACTAGGCTCTTTTCTGTAACTAGATGGAGGAATGAATGTAAAGTTATTTTGAATTAGGAAGTTACCAGTAACAGCAGCATAAAATATCCTTCCTACATACCTGCCCCAAATTAAGTGTTATTTGATAGAAACACTTAGATAGGAAATCTGAAGTTATACTGATGTGATATAACAAGCCGAAAAGTTCAGGGCCATGGGTGGTCAAATTCAAGTGCACTTTCAAACAGTATTATTTTACACACATGTACCCAGAAGGAAAATTCTCTTCCCTTTTAAATGTCAGTTTTCCATTCCATTGTGTGACTTGTTCAGGTAAGTATACAAAGATGCCAAGTTTACAATTTTCTCTCATGTTATAAACTTTATTTTAAAAAAAATCTGAGCTATGATCTTCCAAGTTAAATTCATTTTTAAATCCTCGTGTTTCAACCCAGTTCTCAAGTTCAGATCTCCTCAGGGAGATATTTTAACCCACTTATGTCTTGATCCCTCCCCAAAGAGTAGATTTGTGGTGGCAAGGTGCAGGCATCTACATATCTTAAAATTACCCTAGGTATTTCTGATGGGCAGTCCTGTTACACAGCACTGATTTAAACACACACAGATTCTGGACAAGTCTTCAGAACTATTTGCTCTTGTCACATTCCACCAGGAAATAAATACATAAATCATAAGCATGCCAGCTTTTCTACATTTTCTGCTGCTAGGATAAAACATATTCCTTTATGTTCCAGTCCACGTTCCAGACAGTACAGCTAACGGCAGCTGCAGAAATCAACACCTATAACCCTGAGATATACGTGATCGAAGATAACACTGTTACGGTGAGCATATCACACCTTCCTTGTGAGCCTCAGGGTCTGTGATGGGCATTCCATTTCTAAAAGCCTGGAATAGTCACTCTTCTCACCTACATGTATGTAGAAACATCTTACTAAAACTTTAAAGATCTGATGTTTATTATGTTGAGATTTCGGCGAGGGTGTGTGCTACTTAAAAAGTTCAGTGCTATACTTGCCCTCCTCCATGCCCCCCACCCATGTCAGCAAAGCTGGCTTTCCTAGAAGTGGTGATCCAGTGAGAAGCACAACAAAAGGGGCTCTGTTGTTTGGGACTCCAGGGTGTCTCTTCTCATGACTAAGCCAGCAGCACCAGTTCTTCCTTTCTCCTCCTGCTTACACAAAATGGTCTGGAGCTTAGGCCAGAAAACCTAATTATGCTTATTTAAATCATAAATTGTATTTTGAATAATTTTTAAAGAAAGGTACTGAAGCATGCTTAATAAATAATGCATTTATTAGAGGGTTTTTTAAAATAGTTCTCCTTACAACTAGACATTGATACTGTGTGGCATGTCCATTCATTAGATCTTACGTTCTGGAGGACTATAAATGCTCCCCTTGATTAAAAAAAAATTTAAAAAAAGCTTTTACAGAGAAATGTACTTTCACAGAAAACAAAGGCTCTCTGTTCCACAAGCTGGCATGAGATAATTTTCCTTTGCACTAAATCTCTGGTTAGAATGTGCCACGTTTAGATATAGTGGGATTTCCATGCCCAGCTAATCTGCTGGCAGAGCCCTGAGCATTTTCCTCCCAATGCTTGTGTTAGGAGTTGAAAGCCAGTTTAAGAGTCTGCCCCCAAGGCCAGCTTGGCAGTTGGCCTCAGTCCACTGCTCCAGCCTACAGACTTGGTCAAAAAGTTATGACCCCATGAACTCTGGGCCTCCTCACTCCATGCCTGAGAGTGAAGCTCACAGCACTGGGGCCCCACTCTTGTCTAGGGAAAAATGATTCCACACAACAGAGCTTACTTCTCTGCCTCTGGTTTAGGAGCCTCAGTGAAAGCCCACACCCTCTCTTCAGAGACTAGGGCCTGGAAAATCAGAAATAGAGCCAAAGGAAATGCGGGCTTCAAATTCAAAATGCTATGAACTTAGCATCGGGGAGAAGTATTATAGATTTTTTTTAAAAGCTCACTTTAGAAAAACAGTGTTCAGACAATATGTGAAACTCCACTGAAAACTGTTTTTAGAAAGCAGTATTAAATATATTAATCAGAAATTCAAATGAACAATTTTAACAAACCCATTAGATTCTTCTTTTATTGGTTTTCTCTGAGCAATACTAATAAAAAACAGAAGCCAATTACTAGGTGCAAAAGTAATTGTGGTATCTGCCATTAAAAGTAAAGAAAGGTTGGGAGCATTGGCTCAAACCTGTAATCCCAACACTTTGAGAGGCCGAGGCAGGTGAATCACCTGAGGTTGGGAGTTTGAGACCAGCTTGGTCAACATAGTAAAACTCTGTCTCTACTAAAAAGACAAAAATTAGCTGGGTGTGGTGGTGTACACCTGTAATCAAAGCTACTTGGGAGGCTGAGGCAGGAGAATCACTTGAACCTGCGAGGCACAGGTTGCAGTGAGCTGAGATTGTGCCACTGCACGCCATCCTGGATGACAGAGCCAGATTCTGCCTCAAAAAAAAAAAAAAAAAGTAAAGAAAAAGTATTTTTAATATTAAAGACTGCAATTACTTTTGCACCAGCCTAATATTACTCAGTTGTGTCTATGAACATTTTTTTAATCTAAACATTAATTTGAATAAATTTTTGAATAAGGTATCTAACCTAAATAATAACTTCACATGTTCTAAGTGTCTGTTATATTTATTTGAATCCCTAGCCCACTTAAAAATCTGATCCACAGGCCGGGCGCGGTGGCTCAAGCCTGTAATCCCAGCACTTTGGGAGGCCGAGACGGGCGGATCACGAGGTCAGGAGATCAAGACCATCCTGGCTAACACGGTGAAACCCCGTCTCTACTAAAAAATACAAAAAACTAGCCGGGCGCGGTGGCGGCGCCTGTAGTCCCAGCTACACGGGAGGCTGAGGCAGGAGAATGGTGTAAACCCGGGAGGCGGAGCTTGCAGTGAGCTGAGATCCGGCCACTGCACTCCAGCCTGGGCGACAGAGCGAGACTCCGTCTCAAAAAAATAAAAATAAAATAAAATAAATAAATAAAAAATCTGATCCACAAAATGCTATAGTCATGGGTCCATAGGGATCTGTGGTTCCTTGGGTTAGAAAGCTGTGGAAAAGACAGAAGAAAGCTTATGACTGCCATAAAGCAGTGAGCTACATGAATTTATCATCACTTTATTCATAAATTTATCAAGCCTTATATTTTAGTTCTTGAAGATACAAATGAAAAGAAATACAGTCGCCAAGGTCAGCTGCAAGTTTAGTGCAGCCCATAAATTATATGACAAAAAGCAGCTCATTTGCCACTGCAATTTAATGTTAAATCAAGTAAATAAAACACATATTATCCCCTTCTTTTGCTTCTATATATAGCTCTTTAGGAATATTTTCTAAAGAGAATGGTTGAGACTCTTTCCCCAATTAATTAAATTTCCCCTAATTAATTAAAAACTGAATATACGGTTTTCCTGTTAAAACTCAGGGCAGCCATTCCATTACAGCATCTCAAAGATTGCCAGGAAGCAGACATAAAGAATCCTAAGTAGCCTCAAGGACAACTTTCCCACTGAAAAGGTCAACTTGTCCCTTGAGATACTATTTCTACTTTTCCAACAATATCAACTTGGAATGAGGTTTAAGTGAAACTAGTATTTTAGACGCAATACAAAGCTGTGGTTTCATCACCATCAAGTTGGGTTAATGAGTTTCTTCGACTCCTCTCCCCAAAGCTGTTTGCTTTCACTTGATGATGCTTTCACCTGATTTGAATGTATGCCAGAAATGGAAGCTTCTATTTCATAAGTAAAATAAGCATCTGAGATTCTCAAGCATGAAGTAGCCACAAGACAGTGATGTAGTTAAAGGGGGGAAACTAGAAAAGTTGTATTTTTTAGCTGGATGGACTTTGCAGGAGGATTTTCTCTAAAATTGTTCTGCCAGTGTTTGAGATACGCCATCATGAGCAAATCATGTCACCTTTCTAGAGCTGTCGACCTTCACTTACAGAACGAGAGAATTGGACTAGACCATCTCCCCACTTTTTTTGTGGTATTAAAATAACTTAACTGTAAACTGACATTTCCAGATTCCCCTGATGATAATGAAACCTGATGAGAAAGCCGAAGTACCAATAGGAGTTATAATAGGAAGTATAATTGCTGGAATCCTTTTGCTGTTAGCTCTGGTTGCAATTTTATGGAAGGTAAGAAAAGCTTCATATTTTAAAATACAGGGCTCCTGAAGGCCAGCCTTGAATTTGCTTACAAAACATCAACCTCAGGTTTTATATGGTACCTTCTCTATCACAAGGAGAAAAGAAATGCAAGTTTGTTTACAATTTCTTACTCATGTCATTAAAAACAACCAGTAAGGATTTTATCTTCTTTTAAACTTTCCTTTTATCCAGAGCCCTGCATGTTTTGTTCAGCTTCAAATAAGTAGACGCTGACAAATGTAGCTTTATGCAATGCAGCTGAGCTCTCTAGATAGATGTTTCCTTCTAGCGGGTGACAGTGCAGGTCATCAGTCTGCACACCTCCCTTCAGAGCCTCAGGGATTCCCAGAGGTGTGTCAGAGGACGTGCGCAGCCAAGGCAGTCAGAGGCACCTTACAAAATAAGCCACGGGTGGTAATATTTTTGTATCATCACCTTGACAGCTCGGCTTCTTCAAAAGAAAATATGAAAAGATGACCAAAAATCCAGATGAGACTGACGAGACCACAGAACTCAATAGCTGAACCAGCAGACCTACCTGCAATGGGAACTGGCAGCATCCCAGCCAGAGTTTGCTGTTTGCGTAAATGGATTTCTTTTTAAATCCCATTTTTTTTTTTTTTTTATCATGCCATAGGTAAACTAACCTGGTATTTTAAGAGAAAACTGCAGGTCAGTTTGGCATGCAGATATTGTGGGGGGTTGGGGAGGTGCGGGGAGCGGGTAGGGATATAATGGGTAAAAGACTTATTTTATATGATGGGGAGAAAAAGTAATCTTTAAACTGGCTGGCCCAGAGTTTACATTCTAATGTGCATTTTGTCAGAAACATGAAATGCTTCCAAGCATGATAACTTTTAAAGAAAAATATGATACTCTCAGATTTTAAGGGGAAAAACTGTTTTCTTTAAAATACTTGTCTTTAAACAGCAACAACAAAAGCGGAAGTGCCTGATATGTAAGTACTTCCACTTGTGTATATTTTAATAACTATTGATGTTAACAAAAACACAGGTTGCTTTTCAATTTATGCTGCTCATCCAAAGTTGCCACAGATGATACTTCTAAGTGATAATTTTATTTATAAACTAGGTAAAATTTGTTGTTGGTTCCTTTTAGAGCACGGCTGCCCCTTCCACACCCCATCTTGCTCTAATGATCAAAACATGCTTGAATAACTGAGCTTAGAGTATACCTCCTATATGTCCATTTAAGTTAGGAGAGGGGGCGATATAGAGACCAAGGCACAAAATTTTGTTTAAAACCCAGAATATAACATTTATGTAAAATCCCATCTGCTAGAGGCCCATCCTGTGTCAGAGGAAGGAAATGGAGGACATTTCCTTTCTCTTTTAGGAGGCACAACAGTTATCTTTTAGGACTTGTTTGGGTGACTGGCAGTAACCTAGTGAATTTCTGAAAGATGAGTATTTCTTTGGCAACCTTCCTCCTCCCTTACTGAACCACTCTCCCACCTCCTGGTGGTCCCATTATTATAGAAGGCCTCTACAGCCTGACTTTCTCTCCACTGGTCCAAAGTTATCCCCTCCTTTACCCCTCATCCAAAGTTCCCACTCCTTCAGGACAGCTGCTGTGCATTAGGTATTGGGAAAAGTCACCTGTTTAATTTACACACTTGCATGAATTACTGTATATTACCTCCTTACCTTCAGGAAGCTATTTTCATTTAGTGCTAAACAAGTAAGAAAAATAAGCTCGAGTGAATTTCTAAATGTTGGAACGCGAGGGGATGTAAACAATGTAAAGTAAAACATCTCAGGATTTCATGAGAAGTTACAGATGAGGCACTGGAAGCCACCAAATTGGCAGGTGCACCCTCTGTGGCTGTCTTGTTTCTGAAGAACTTAAACTTCCACAAGAAAGAATTTGACCTAGGCAAGTTTGTTCAAAAGGTAGATCCTGAGAGGATTTGGTCAGATTGGGATAAGGCCCAGCAATATGCATTTTAACAGGCGCCCCAGTCACTAGGTTGCAGACGGACCACACTTTGAGAAACACCACCCATTTCTACTTTTCGCACCTAATTTTCTCTGTTCCTGAGCCCCCACATTCTCTAGGAGAAACTTAGAGGAAAAGGGCACAGACACTACATATCTAAAGCTTTGGACAAGTCCTTGACCTCCATAAACTTCAGAGTCCTCATTATAAAATGGGAAGACTGAGCTGGAGTTCAGCAGTGATGCTTTTAGTTTTAAAAGTCTATGGTCTGGATTTCTATAATACAAATAGACAATCTTCCAAGAATTTGACTTGGAAAAAAACGTCAGAGGAAAACAGGTTATCTGCCCATGCGCATATGGACGACCTTGACTGCCCTGGCCCAGCCCCTATGTTGGCAGTCCAGGGCTATCTGTACTGTTTACAGAATTACTTTGTAATTGACAACACAAAACAAACAAGAAAAAAAGGCATAAAATGTCAGGGTTTTATAGAAAAAATGGCATGGTATTCTCTAGTTAGGTATGCCAGAGTCCAATTCTTTTAACAGCTGTGAGAATTCGCTGTTTTGTTCCAACGAAAATTTTATTTAAAAAAAAAAAAAAAAAAAAGACTAGAGAAACTAGTCATTAACTTGATAAAGAATATTTAACAGCTAGTGATGCTGGTGTGTGCCTGCAGCTCCAGCTACTTGGGAGACTGAGACAGGAGGATCGCTTGAGTCCAGGAGTTCAAGTCCAGCCTAAGCAACATAGCAAGACCCTGTCTCAAAAAAAATGACTATTTAAAAAAACAGTGTGGCTGGGAACAGTGGCTCACACCTGTAATCCCTACACTTTGGGAGGCTGAGGCCAGTGGATCAGGAGGTCAGGAGTTTGAGACCAGCCTGGCCAATATGATGAAACCCCATCTCTGCTAATAACACAAAAATTAGCTGGGCATAGTGGCAGTGCCTATAATCCCAGCTACTCGGGAAGCTGACGCAGGAGAATCACTTGAACCTGGGATGCGGAGGCTGCAGTGAGCCGAGATCGTGCCACTGCACTCCAGCCTGGGCGACAGGGCAAGACTCCATTTAAAAAAAAAAAAAAAAGAGTGAGTACTGTATATACAAATATTAGCTTTTCAATGTGCTATACAAAGAATTATAGCACATCCTTCCTTTTATTTTACTGTCTCACCTTCTTTAGGTGAGTACTTTCTTAAATAAGTACTAAACATACATATACAGAACTTGAAAGCTTTGGTTAGCCTTGCCTTAGGTAATCAGCCTAGTTTACACTGTTTACAGGGAGTAGTTGAATTACTATAAACCATTAGCCACTTGTCTGTGCACCATTTATCACACCAGGGCAGGGTCTCTCAACCTGGGCACTACTGTCATTTGGGGCCAGGTGATTCTTCCTTGCAGGGAATGTCCTGTACCCTGTAGGACAGCAGCCCTGTCCTATAAGGTATGATGTTTAGCAGCATCCCTGGCCTCTAGCTACTTGATGCCAGACCATCCTCCCCCTGCAGTCAGGACAATCAAAAAATGTCTCCAGACATTGTCAAATGCCTCCTGGGGGGCAGTATTTCTCAAGCACTTTCAAGCAAAGGTGAGTATTCATACAAGAAATTCAGGGGAAAAACATTTTTTAAATAAAAGCTATGTGTTCCTATTCAACAATATTTTTGCTTTAAAAGTCAGTAAAGGGCATAAAAGCTGTCAAATTCAAATTTCCATTCCATAAATGGTATACAGACAAGGTCTATAGAATGTGGTAAAAACTTGACTGCCACACAAGGCTTATAAAATAGTAAGATAGTAAAATAACTTATGAAGAAACTACAGAGATTTAAAATTGTGCATCACTCATTTCAGCAGCAAAATAAGAACTCCTAACTGGACAGAAATTTTTCTAGCTAGCAATGTTATTTTTGTAAAATAGTTATCAAAAATTATCTTCAAAATGTGAAGAATAAAGAAAATAAAGCCAATTTATTATAGTCACACAAGTGATTATACTAAAAATTGTTATAAAGAGTATAATTTTATAATGTATTTACCTGTCCTGATATATAGCTATAACCCAATATATGAAAATCTCAAAAATTAAGACATCATCATACAGAAGGCAGGATCCCTTAAACTGAGATCCCTGATCCATCTTTCATATTTCAATTTCCACACATAAAACAATTATATAAAAAAAACTTTGTAGGACTATGCCCTTTTGTGTATGCATACCCATTTTAACCAATTTGAAAAGTTAATTTAAAATCTAGAGGTGAATGAGAAACATGGGAGAAAAGTGTGAAATAAGTGAAAATATTAACTATTTCTTTGAACTCTAAAGACTGAAACTGTAGCCATTATGTAAATATAGTTTCATATGTACCTGTTTATTTTGGCAGATTGTCAAAATATGAATGTATATATTGCGTAACTATGTTAGAATTGTGTATATTTTAAAGAAATTGTCTTGGATATTTTCCTTTATACATAATAGATAAGTCTTTGTTCAAATGTGTTTGATGTTTTTGATTAAATGTGTTTTGACTCTTTACTTTCCACAAAAACTATAAAAATAAATGCATGTTTGTACAAAAAGTGGCAGAATTCATTTGATTTACGAGAAACAAAAATTAAAGTGTTGTCAACATAAACTAGTTAATAGCTTTTCTCATATACAAGTATAACAAATGGAAAAGTTCCATTAATTGTAAGCCACTCTTTTCATGCCACATTATTGAATATTGTTACAATTGTCTGGAAAATAAAGTTATTTTCTTTGGGCTTTTACAAGTTATATATTTTACTATTTTTATCTTATACATTCACTTTGCTCACATCCAAGACTCAATTTAAGAAGACTGAGGCTATAATTCGCCATAGTTGTCCAGTCTATGTTTCTAGCAGTGACCACAGGATGTTTTGTAGGACTCTTAAACTGCCTTCAAAGTTTTGAGACAGCAGAAAGCATTGTTCCTCAAAGTGTGGCCCATGGACAGACGGTGCTGCACCACCTGCAGCCTGTTAAAAACACAGATCTCAGGGGCCACTCAAAACGATTCAAGTCAAATTGGAAGTTCTACAGCATCCCCAAGTGAGTCATATTGCATTGAAGTTGAGAAGCACTGCTCTAAAGCTCTAAAGCACAACTTACCTCTTGAAATAAAATGTGTGCTTTGAATAGAGAGGGAAAAAAAAAATCAGCCAAACTGCTGCAATATGCAAAAGCAGACTCATCTGCATAGTTGTTTTTTTTTTAAAAAATAGTAGTAAGCAGGAGGGTTTAAATATTTTTAAAGAGCATGCTGAAAGAAATGTGCTGAAGTTATAAAATAAGTACACGTTGGGCGCACAGACTGCCATCGCTGTACAGATGGCAGAGTAATGCACAGATGGGGTGGAAAGTGGGTGTGTGCTGCCATAAATAGCGATGCACCAGCATCTCCATTCATGTCTGCAGTGCTGTCTCACATGCCTCCCTGCCCATCGCAGTTGTGTTGAGCCGTCTCAGGAGGGCAGCTCACTGCAGCACAACCATCAATAAGTGCATCTGCTATATCTCTCACATTCAAATACAATCTTGGAGAGCTGAGTGTGGGAACTGCAGCTACTTGGGAGGCTGAGGCAGGGAGGATCCTTTGAACCCAGGAGTTCAAGGCCAGCAACATAATGAGACTCCCCGTCCGCCATCTCTTCAAAAAGTAAAGTGTTACAGAAAAAGAGCACTACGTTTTATTTCTTTTTCACGGAGCAGGTTAGGAAATGCTGTCAAAAGACCTGTATTAAAGCAATCATTTTGTCCCATAGAATTAACTGGAAAATAATTTTACACTTACTTTTTAAAAAGTACTTTTATTTATTCTACATCACTTGTTAAAAACTACAAATTGCATTTTTAAAAACTCCTTCCTCATCATCTTTTAATACTTTTAAAGTGTCAAAGATTGGACATCGTCTTACACAAAATCAGGGCCTAATTTTCATTTAGGAACCACTACAGCCTGACTTTAAAGAAAATGGCTACTAAACTGAACTTTTGATTCTATGCAAAATTAAATCTAAGACTCAAGTTCCTAAACACAACTTCACTGTAACTTTTGCTATGGCCCTGGCTCTACCGCCCTCTGCTGGATGGTCCACCTAACTACATCACACAAATCATTCTTAAGAGATCTTTACTGTACCAGGTGCTCAGTAACTATGTAAGATGTCTAAATCACTAATTTCTCAAAAAAGATGAAAATATATTGTGACTCTATACATCATATCCAAAGGACAAAAATATCCACAAAATAAGTCACTCACTGAATATCTGCTGTTACTTTCATTTAAACATGATAAAAATCAATTTCATTTTACCACTTGTTCAAAAATACTTGAAACATAAAGAATTTGTATTTCCTATTTCTTGAGTGAACTTACCTAGCAATCATGCAAAGTCATGGCTTTAAAGTGACCATGAAACACTGCAGGCAATCTGATTAAAGGCTATTTTTTTTATATATATTACTCTTCCAGTTACTTGAAGACAAGTTACAGAGATGGAAAAGCTACATATCAGAGTGATAGTAGCCCCTTAATACCTGAACCACCAATTAACTCTGCCATTCCTAAGTAAGCAAGGGTCAGGAAAGATCCTATCTAAGTCAAGTACAATGCACTAAAATCTTTCAAGGCCATTCCATCCCAGTTCTGGCATGTCCCAGGTTAACTCCTTAACCTCTCTATTGTAGACTTTTTTTTTTTTTTTTTTTTTTTTTTGAGACGGAATCTGGCTCTGTCGCCCAGGCTGGAGTGCAGTGGCCGGATCTCAGCTCACTGCAAGCTCCGCCTCCCGGGTTTACGCCATTCTCCTGCCTCAGCCTCCCGAGTAGCTGGGACCACAGGCGCCGCCACCACGCCCGGCTAGTTTTTTGTATTTTTTAGTAGAGACGGGGTTTCACCGTGTTAGCCAGGATGGTCTCGATCTCCTGACCTCGTGATCCGCCCGTCTCGGCCTCCCAAAGTGCTGGGATTACAGGCTTGAGCCACCGCGCCCGGCCTCTATTGTAGACTTTAAAAGCATAACAGTCTCAGTTCCAAACTTAGAATAAAGCCTACTTACTGAAGGCATGATTCTTTTAAAATATAAAGAATGTTCTATGTTCTTTAAAAACATCATTACCCTCAATAAGGAACTTCTAAAGAAATATTTAAGTAAGAAAATCTTGAAATCCACATATACCTCTCAACACTGCATATGACAAAATAAACATCCATTTAACAACCTATGTACAAAATCCTAGAAATATCTACAGTGACCCAGTAACCCCATGATAATGTGCTTTCAGATATAATCAACAGCCAACACCCACCCCTGCTCTCCAATGGGGACAGGCTGACGCTCGATGGCAAGCACAGAGTGACACTGAACTGAGAGGGTAAGGCTGAACCGAACCCGGCAGAGGAAATAGGCAACCCAAACCCGGCAGAGGAAGTAGGCGAAGGGTTTGTCTGCCCTTCCAGTATCCTTCTGGACCAATCTCTCCAGAAATAAGCATCAACTGATGTAACCAGGTGATTCCTAAAGTCAGTGTGGCTGTCCTGTGGGTCCCAGCCACAGATAAGATGCAGAGT